GCCAATAATTCACAGATCAGACTTCCGGTAGACAAGATGGCGTATTGAATACACAGCGGTACAAATCACCTCAAGATAAAAACATAATATCCAATATCAGTAAGTTAGACTAAATATTAGCACTTCATATATTCGCGGGTAATAACATTCAATCTGGATAATAACACAAAACAAATCATAAGGCTAGAGAAAGTTAGACAAATATTACAACAACAAGCAACACCCAAACATGACAGAAGATAAACGAGGAGAATCAATCTCCAAGAGAACGTGACTCCTCGACTGATACAGATGATTTATGCTTTTCACCACTGGGACTGGTAAGTGTGGAAAGCGATCTGTTGAAGTCGATAAATGACAAACTGGGCATACTAGAGTTGGTCAGTAATGATGTAAAAGAGTTGAAGGCGAGTCTTGAAATAAGTGACGGAAAAGCTGTGAGAATGGAGAGCGATACAAAAAAACTAAAAGGGACAGTCACGAAGATAGAAACAGATGTTAAGGAACTTAAAAAGGAGAACAACTTTCTGAGAGAAGCCTTACTAGACATACAAACTAGATCGATGAGAGAAAATCTAGTACTTACAGGTTTCCAAGAAAAAGGAGAGGTTACCGAAAAAATTGTGAAGGACTTCTTTTTTACAGCGCTTCAAATCCCACTCGAGGCTGTCGATAAAATCCAACTCGAACGTGTACTCCGTTTCGGACAATGAGGACAGATATGAGCGTCCAATCGTTGCCAAATTTGCTTTTTTTAAGGATAAAGTAATGGTTAAAAGCCTAGGTAAAAGGCATGAAAATAGGCATCAATGATCAGTTTCCGAGGGAGATTGGGTACAGAACTTTGCGCCGTTCTGCAATCTTCAAGGAAAATAGATTAAAAGGAAAACGTGTTGCTCTCATTGTCGATAAACTGTATATTGACAACCGAATGTTCCGCGACACAAAGACTACTCCATGGTTATTCTGAAAGTTCTAATAGAGGAGTCGAATAATGGAACACCCAATACTAGCCATGGTAGGGATTGTAATAATAATAAAGCACTTTTATAGTATGTATAGTATTTTATAAAGGGATAAGACGGTATTACAAGAAAAGATAACAAGCAAAATAATACATCTTCAAATACAACTAATTAGAACACAAGTACTCAATCAACATAGTAGAGATAAAAACATAGCAAACAGAAGACATAGAAGGTACAGTATGTTGGTATGTGTGGATGTATTGTGAGGTGTGCGTTTTTGTGTTTTGAAAAAGTGTGGCGTTAAGTGAGTGAGAAAGGAAATGGTTGCATATTCCAGAACCAACGTGTGTCTGTGAGCAGGGGTTGTGAGAGAGCTTTCAATTTTGTGCAGATGAGGGATATACATTTAAAAATATAGTATACAGTATCTCACAAAAGTGAGTACACCCCTCACATTTTTGTAAATATTTGAGTATATCTTTTCATGTGACAACACTGAAGAAATGACACTTTGCTACAATGTAAAGTAGTGCGTGTACAGCTTGTATAACAGTGTAAATTTGCTGTCCCCTCAAAAACTCAACACACAGCCATTAATGTCTAAACCGCTGGCAACAAAAGTGAGTACACCCCTAAGTGAAAATGTCCAAATTGGGCCCAAAGTGTCAATATTTTGTGTGGCCACCATAATTTTTCAGCACTGCCTTAACCCTCTTGGGCATGGAGTTCACCAGAGCTTCACAGGTTGGCACTGGAGTCCTCTTCCACTCCTCCATGACGACATCACGGAGCTGTTAGAGACCTTGCACTCCACCTTCCGTTTGAGGATGCCCCACAGATGCTCAATAGGGTTTAGGTCTGGAGACATGCTTGGCCAGTCCATCACCTTTACCCTCAGCTTCTTTAGCAAGGCAGTGGTCGTCTTGGAGGTGTGTTTGGGGTCGTTATCATGTTGGAATACTGCCCTGCGGCCCAGTCTCCAAAGGGAGGGGATCATGCTCTGCTTCAGCCCCAGACCATGACACTCCCACCACCATGCTTGACTGTAGGCAAGACACTTGTCTTTGTACTCCTCACCTGGTTGCCGCCACACACGCTTGACACCATCTGAACCAAATAAGTTTATCTTGGTCTCATCAGACTACAGGACATGGTTCCAGTAATCCATGTCCTTAGTCTGCTTGTCTTCAGCAAACTGTTTGCGGGCTTTCTTGTGCATCATCTTTAGAAGAGGCTTCCTTCTGGGACGACAGCCATGCAGACCAATTTGATGCAGTGTGCGGCGTATGGTCTGAGCACTGACAGGCTAACCCCCCCCCCCCCCCCCCCCCCCCCCCTCCCCCTTCAACCTCTGCAGCAATGCTGGCAGCACTCATACGTCTATTTCCCAAAGACAATATGACGCTGAGCACGTGCACTCAACTTCTTTGGTCGACCATGGCGAGGCCTGTTCTGAGTGGAACCTGTCCTGTTAAACCGCTGTATGGTCTTGGCCACCGTGCTGCAGCTCAGTTTCAGGGTCTTGGCAATCTTCTTATAGCCCAGGCCATCTTTATGTAGAGCAACAATTCTTTTTTTCAGATCCTCAGAGAGTTCTTTGCCTTGAGGTGCCATGTTTAACTTCCAGTGACCAATATGAGGGAGTGTGAGAGCGATGACACCAAATTTAACACACCTGCTCCCCATTCACACCTGAGACCTTGTAACACTAACGAGTCACATGACACCGGGGAGGGAAAATGGCTAATTGGGCCCAATTTGGACATTTTCACTTAGGGGTGTACTCACTTTTGTTGCCAGCGGTTGAGACATTAATGGCTGTGTGATGTGTTATTTTGAGGGGACAGCAAATTTACACTGTTATACAAGCTGTACACTCAAAGCTGCTGAGAACCTTGACGACCTTGTACCTAGCCGGTGGGGATTCCGTAGTCCCCTGTAGCTCAGTTGGTAGAGCATGGCACTTGCAACGCCAGGGTTGTGGGTTTGTTTCCCACGGGGGGCCAGTATGAAAAATGTATGCACTCACTAACTGTAAGTCGCTCTGGATAAGAGCGTCTGCTAAATGACTAAAATGTAAATGGTTACCCCCACCCAGTGCTGGCAACACTGGCTGCAGTAACCCATGGGGAGGGGGTCACACTCAGACAATCAGAGAGGGGGCTTATTATTGTGGCCCAGTTGGCAAAAAATAATCAAAGGTTTGACTGCACGGAGGTGCTTGGGAAAAATGGTTACAACGGGGGACCAGAGTGTTTGTGTCTCAGCTAAAGAGGGTGGATCTGATCTCCATCACCTAGGATTTGACATAGATTAATCAAATCTCACATTGTTGTAAATTTTTGCTCAATCTTGCATGCTTTCTCAAACAGCTGTAACTGTATACAGTGAGGGGAAAAAAGTATTTGATCCCTTGCTGATTTTGTACGTTTGCCCACTGACAAAGACATGATCAGTCTATAATTTTAATGGTAGGTTTATTTGAACAGTGAGAGACAGAATAACAACCAAAAAATCCAGAAAAACACATGTAAAAAATGTTATAAATTGATTTGCATTTTAATGAGGGAAATAAGTATTTCACCCCTCTGCAAAATATGTCTTAGTACTTGGTGGCAAAACCCTTGTTGGCAATCACAGAGGTCAGACATTTCTTGTAGTTGGCCACCAGGTTTGCACACATCTCAGGAGGGATTTTGTCCCACTCCTCTTTGCAGATCTTCTCCAAGTCATTAAGGTTTCGAGGCTGACGTTTGGCAACTCGAACCTTCAGCTCCCTCCACCGATTTTCTATGGGATTAAGGTCTGGAGACTGGCTAGGCCACACCAGGACCTTAATGTGCTTCTTCTTGAGCCACTCCTTTGTTGCCTTGGCCGTGTGTTTAGGGTCATTGTCATGCTGGAATACCCATCCACCACCCATTTTCAATGCCCTGGCTGAGGGAAGGTTCTCACCCAAGATTTGACGATACATGGCCCCGTCCATCGTCCCTTTGATGCGGTGAGGTTGTCCTGTCCCCTTAGCAGAAAAACACCCCCAAAGCATAATGTTTCCACCTCCATGTTTGACGGTGGGGATGGTGTTCTTGGGGTCATAGGCAGCATTCCTCCTCCTCCAAACATGGCGAGTTGAGTTGATGCCAAAGAGCTCAATTTTGGTCTCATCTGACCACAACACTTTCACCCAGTTCTCCTCTGAATCATTCAGATGTTCATTGGCAAACTTCAGACGGCCCTGTATATGTGCTTTCTTGAGCAGGGGGACCTTGCGGGCGCTGCAGGGTTTCAGTCCTTCACGGCGTAGTGTGTTACCAATTGTTTTCTTGGTGACTATGGTCCCAGCTGCCTTGAGATCACTGACAAGATCCTCCCGTGTAGTTCTGGGCTGATTCCTCACCGTTCTCATGATCATTGCAACTCCACGAGGTGAGATCTTGCATGGAGCCCCAGGCAGAGGGAGATTGACAGTTCTTTTGTGTTTCTTCCATTTGCGAATAATCACACCAACTGTTGTCACCTTCTCACCAAGCTGCTTGGCGATGGTCTTGTAGCCCATTCCAGCCTTGTGTAGGTCTACAATCTTGTCCCTGACAAGAAATATACTTCTCCCATGGGCAAAGAAACTCAAAAGGGGTGATCTGAATTTGCAAATTTTCCAAACAGATACGCAAGGTAGATGGATTATTTTATATATGTTATTGGACCATAAACAGATATGGCTCATTAACCTTTACGGACCAAATAATGATGATCCTCACTTCTTTGACAATATATATATAATCAATTATCAACCCTGCAAGCAATTCAAGACTCTATTATTATGGTGGGAGATTATAATCAGGGGTGCACATAACTTTTTCAGTGAGTTACTCAGGTGAGTACCAGCAGATGGTGTCTGGTACTCACCCCATATGTAGCGTGGTCTTAATAAGTGCAGTCTTCCTCACTGTCTTCCTCAGTGCCGCCCCCACTGTCCTCTTCAGTGTCGCCCCCACTGTCCTCCTCAGTGTCGCCACCACTGTCCTCTTCAGTGTCGCCCCCACTGTCCTCCTCAGTGTCACCACCACTGTCCTCTTCAGTGTCGCCCCCACTGTCCTCCTCAGTGTCGCCACCACTGTCCTCTTCAGTGTCGCCCCCACTGTCCTCCTCAGTGTCGCCACCACTGTCCTCTTCAGTGTCGCCCCCACTGTCCTCCTCAGTGTCGCCACCACTGTCCTCTTCAGTGTCGCCCCCACTGTCCTCCTCAGTGTCGCCACCACTGTCCTCTTCAGTGTCGCCCCCACTGTCCTCTGCTTCAGCTTCCTGCATGGTAGATGATGAATATGCTGCAGATGCACCTCCCTGTCCTTGGTTGAGCCTCCGATTAGCTGTCTCCATCCACAGGTCAACAGCAGGCTTTGGGTCAAATGTCTCTGTGGTCTGTTTTGACAGGTGAATGTGCATCAGGGCTGAGAGACGAGCATGTGACAGACGAGATCTGTACTTGGTTTTTATTATGTTGAGATGTGAGAATCCCCTCTCCCAAGCTGCACTGCTTAAAGGCAGTGTAAGAGACAGCTTAACCACCTTGTTGATTTTGGAGTTAGCATCTGGGTTACTTGTATTTACTATTTGGACCAAGTCATACACAGAAGAGGCTCGCAAGCGTTTTCCTGCCTGCTTTAAGCGCACCCATTCTGTCACAGTGGTATCTTTGTCAAGTTGCAAGGTGGCCTCATATTTCTTGAGAATGCTGCAAACTGTTGTGTTTCTAAAACTCTGGAGGTCTTGCATTTCCTGAGGCCATGTTGAAGGATCAAATAGTAAGAAATGATCACATGACTTGAGGGAGTCATATCTGATTTCAAACATTCAATTAACCCCCTGAGTAAGTGTGTCTTGTCTCTGTCAGCATCATCATTGGAAACAGTGTGTGCCCTGTGGCTTTCCCCATCAAGCAGAAGTGTGAACTGTCCAATGGCCACCATGAGTTCATCCTTACATTCTCCAATGGTCAGCTTTTCCTTCTGAAACCTAATGGATGTGGTCTTCAAAATGTTGCAAATGTCAAGCATGTTTGACAGAAAGCACTGAAAATGCTCTGTGCAGATATGCTGCAAGTCACTGTTATCACTCGTAACCAGTTGCATTTTAATGGCTGGCAATAGTCTTGATATTTTTAAGTGTTTCATGCCTCCATGCAGACCATCTGATATTATGAAACTTACCCAGTTTCACAAAGGAGATCCCATTTTCTTCACATAGCTTATTCAGTGCAGCAGTTTTTTTTGCTCCACCTTTTTGTAAATAAAACTGCAGCAGCTTGACCACAGAGCGATTAAATGTCTCACAGTAAGGAACGTTACGATCAGCTGATTTCGCGCAATTCTCCAGTGTGTGTGCGGTGCACAGAATGTGCACAAGGGAGTCTCCAACCGGAGCAAGTTGCCAGAGTTTTGGCACAACGCCGTTGTAGATTGACAGCAGCCCCGTCTGTGCACACAGCGACCAACTTTGTTGTCCAGTCATCCAAGCCGGTGTCCTGGAAAAGTCTCACAAGTCCGTCTGTTATGGCCTGCACGGTTCGGTCAGCACCCAATTCAATCAGTCCAATAAAGTCCGAAGTAAACTCTCCGTTGCTGGACACAGACACAATGTAAACGATTTCCTGCTCAGTTTTTGTGATGTCCTCAGATCCATCAAAAAGCAGCCCCCAAATTTCAGCAGACTGCAACTTGGCTCGTAACTCCCCGATGATGGTGTGAGCGATGCTCTGCATGATCCGTGTGCCCCCTTCACGTGAATGATATGCACCTCCGACATTTACTCCTAGCCGCTTCAGTAAAGGAACATCCTCAGAATAGGAAGACATGGGACGTGCGTGTTTAGCTTTATGGAAGGCGAGGAGAAAAATATTAAACAGAGCTTGCCGCTGTTCTTCATTCAGCTTGTCTCGCCATCTGGCAAGTGGGCGACTGGACATTTCTTCTCGGCTAGCTTAGCAATGGCTTGCGCCACATTCGTGTGCTCCTTGCTCTTTTCATGTTTGTCAAATAAAGGATGGTTGAAATTCTTTGCCTTTATAAAATGCACCCGTTTTGTCTGCTAGATGTGGATTTGAGCGGCAAATCTTGCACCACATTTCAGTGCGCTCATCGTTCGCTTCAAGCCACTGCACATCTTGGAGCCACTTTTCCGAAAAAAGTATTTTCTTCGGTTCTGGCTCCAGTTGGCGTTTCTTTGTAGGTGGCGAAACGCCAAAGAAGCTGCTTAATGTCTGTTGCTTTTTGGACATCCCTGACAGTAGTTGACAAGCATCATGTCATTTGTAAGGTTAGATGAGAAGATCGGTCAAGTACGCAAAGGCGCGTAGTAACACAAGTGGCATTACGCATTCCTGATTTTTGTCGCGCTTGCGTACCTGCGTACCAGTTATGTGCACCCCTGATTATAATACCGTTTTAAATAGCTCAATGGACCGTAAAGGAAATCACACTACAAACTATCACCCTCATGCTCTTAAGGAAATTGTGAATGTCATGGATACATTAGAACTAGTAGATATATGGAGGCTTAAATATCCTGATCTAGTGAGATATACATGGCGGAGACTCAATCAAGTTAGTCGTCTTGACTTCTTTCTTATGTCATTCTCGTTGGCACCAAAAGTGTTGATAGGGGACAGAACGCGGTCGGACCATCATATAATTGCCATATACATTACTCTTTTATAATTTATAACTGATTTATAACTGATTTTTTCCGACATTAACATAGGTACAGCAAATCCCCTTATTGTATGGGGTTCCTTTTAGAGGCCATGCAATTCAGTACTCATCTCGAAAACAAAAGCAATTTAGGTCAAAAGAGTCCATACTAACAAAGGAAATGGGTCTAACAGAACAGATAGCAATAAAAACTGTAACATAGAGGCTCAGAATAAATTAGAGGAAAAACCAAAAATAAATGGAGAAACTTATTCACGAAAGATCAAGTGTAATATATTATAAAAAAATTAAGCAAGCTGGATGGAACATGGGGAAAAATGCACCAAATTATTTTTTAATCTTCAACATAGAAATGCTACCAAAATTAATTTACTGAAACTGGTTACAAATGATGGAGTCACCCATGATTCACCAAATGATATTTTGAAGGAGGAAACAAAGTACTTTAAGCATATGTTTTCGTTTCAATCCCTTCCATCTCCTCTAACTGAAGCTAATTGTAGAGATCATTTTTCTATTGATAATGTAAAATTAACAGCCATGTGAAGGTGAAATTACAGAGGAGGAACTTCTGGATGCAATTAAAGACTTTAAGTCCGGGAAAACTCCAGGGTTGGATGGCATACCAGTCGAGGTAAACCAAACCTTTTTTGATATACTCAGAGGACCGTTATTAGCATGTTTTATCCACTCCTATGTAAATTGTAGATTATCAGACACTCAAGAAGAAGGTCTGATTTCATTATTACTGAAACAGGATACAAGTGGGAAATATAAAGATCCAGTCCATTTCAAAAATTGGAGGCCCCTTACACTTCAGTGTTGTGATGCAAAAATTCTAGCAAAATGTATAGCGCATTGAATTAAAAAAGGTATTGTCGGACATTATTCATTCTAATCAGACAGGTTTTTTACATGGACGATACATTGGAGAGAATTTAAGGCAAGTACTGGAAACAATAGAACACTATGAAAAATCTGGGAAACCATAGCAGACTTCGAAAAGGCATTTGATAAAGTACGACTGGGATTTATATATAAATGCCTGGAGCATTTCAATTTTGGAGAATCTCTTATAAATTGGGTTAAAATAATGTATAGTAACCCTACGTGTAAAATAGTAAATAATGGCTATTTCTCCGAAAGTTTTAAACTGTCAAGAGGAGTGAAACAAGGTTGTCCACAATCGGCATATCTATTTATTATGGCCATCGAGATGTTAGCTATTAAAATCAGATCCAACAATAATATCAAAGGATTAGAAATCGACGGCTTAAAAACAAAGGTGTCATTGTACGCTGATGATTCATGTTTTCTTTTAAATCCACAACTTGAATCCCTCCACAGCCTCATAGAGGATCTAGATACATTTTCTAACCTCTCTGGATTACAGCCAAACTATGCTAAATGTACTATATTACATATTGGATCACTAAAAAATACAATTTTTACATTACATGTAGTTTACCAATAACATGGTCTGATGGTGATGTGGATATACTCGGAATACATATCCCAAATGAAATAAATGATCTCACTCCAATAAATGTTAATCGAAAGTTAGCAAAGATAGATAAGATCTTGCTACCATGTGAAAGGTAAATACCTGTCTATCACACTGATTAACTCTTTAGTATTATCCCAGTTGACCTATTTGCGTATGGTCTTGCCTACGCCTAGCGAACAGTTTTTTAAATTATATGAGGGAAAAAATATTCAATTTTATTTGGAACGGCAAGCCAGACAAAATTAAACGGGCCTATTTATATAATGAATATTCGGAGGACAGAAATTATTAAAATTGTCTCACCCAATGTTCAAGAATGGCCTTTTCCCCTTTATTCAGATTACAACCTGTCACTTTCAGGTATTTGAAAAAGAAATAATCTCCCAAATATCACTATTTCTTAAACAAGCCATAGAAAGTTGGTTGCAATTTCAGTTTAATCCTCCAGAAACGACTGAACAAATAATGCAACAAATATTGTGGTTAAACTCAAATATACTAATTGATAAAAAACCATTATTTTTTTGACAAAAGGTATAATCTTCGTAAATGATATTATCGGTAGGACTGGTGGAGTTATGTCGAACATGCAGCTAACAAAAACATATGGAAATGTCTGCTCTACCCAAAATTACAACCAATTAATTGCAGCATTACCACAAAAATGGAAGAGGAAAGTGGAAGGCGGAAAAAGTAATGTCTGTCGGCCCTGCATTAAAGACCATAATTGGTTAAAGAAAATTGTGATAAATAAAAAAGTATACCGGTTTCATTTCTGGACCAAAGGATTGACAGCCGTCCCATATAGATTGCAAAATAGTTGGGAAGAGATTTTTGACGTACCTATTCCATGGTGAACTGATACGCAAAATGACGCCGGATTCAAAACTTAGAATTTTTCTATTTCAATTATTATACAAAATTCTTGCTACCAATAGAATGTTATTTATATGGGGGATACAATCTTCCCAGCTCTGCAGATTTTGCTGCGAAGAGACAGAATCATTAGATCATTTGTTTTGGTACTGTCCATTTGTAGCTTGTTTTTGGACACAGGTCCAGGAATGGCTAAAGGATTGCAATATTTACCTGGAGCTAACCCTGCAGATAGCACTACTGAGTGATCTGAAATGTCATAGTCAATCGATCAATAATATAATAATACTTTTAACCAAAAAAAATATTTTCAATTTACAATCTGTAGAAACAATGAGAATAGAAAGGTTCAGAACTTTTGTAAAACATCACAGTACAGTTGAAAAATATATGGCAAATAGAAATCCAAAATGGATGGTGTTAAGAGATAGATGGGTAGTGTTGCATGAAGTTGAAGGATGGGACTAATAACTAACAACAACAAATAAATAACAACAAGATAACTAATGTAAAGCATACTGTGTCCATAATAAGTATATAGGTTATAGGTTGAGAGCTTTTGTGAAAGAGCACAGTTAGAAAGATATCCCATATAGAAGCAAACTGGATGGACATCAGGTTGAGGGTAGAGGAAGTTCAGGAGTAAAAACAAACAACATAGAATTATTGTAAAATTGACTGTGTCCATAAAATGTATATAGTATGTATAAGTTGGAAGTAGAGGCCTAAGCATTGTTGTTCACTAGTTTACTCAAATTAGGGAAGGGGTGGTGGGGTTGGAAAGTAATAAAGGGAAATTTTAAGAGACACATTTTAAAAGAGAAATAATAATAATTCACAGAGCCAAACAGCAAAGATAGATTTAAAGATCATCTATAGTCAAAATCATGTTTTTCATGAAATTGGATGATACTTAGATGAAACCAGATCAAAGTATGATGACCAAAGTATGAAAAATGACTGTTGCTTTTACATTGATAAAGTTACTGGTCCACTCCCCACTGTCAAACACTTGGATTCAGGAGGTGGGATTATTAAGGGGATAGGGTGACATCACCTTAACTCTCATTTTAATACACCAATTGTAACATGCGTGTTTGCAGAGGGCGTGGTTTATATACAGTTGAAGTTGGAATTTTACATACACCTTAGCCAAATACATTTAAACTCAGTTTTTCACAATTCCTGACATTTAATCCTAGTAAAAATTCCCTGTTTTAGGTAATTTAGGATCACCACTTTATTTTAAGAATGTGAAATGTCAGAATAATACTGTAGAGTGATTGATTTATTTAAGCTTTTATTTCTTTCATCACATACCCAGTGGGTCAGAAGTTTACATACACTCAATTAGTATTTGATAGCATTGCCTTTAAATTGTTTAACTTGGGTCAAACATTTCGGGTAGCCTTCCACAAGCTTCCCACAATAAGTTGGGTGAATTTTGGCCCATTTCTCCTGACAGAGCTTGTGTAACTGAGTCAGGTTTTGTAGGCCTCCTTGCTCGCACACGCTTTTTCAGTTCTGCCCACAAATGTTCTATAGGATTGCGGTCAGGGCTTTGTGATGGCCACTCCAATACCTTGACTTTGTTGTCCTTAAGCCATTTTGCCACAACTTTGGAAGTATGCTTGTGGTCATTGTCCATTTGGAAGACCCATTTGCGACAAAGCTTTAACTTCCTGACTGATGTCTTGATGTTGCTTCAAAATATCCACATAATTTTTGACTCAAATGATGTCAATTAGCCTATCAGAAGCTTCTAAAGCCATGACATCATTTTCTATGAATTTTCCAAGCTGTTTAAAGGCACAGTCAACTTAGTGTATATAAACTTCTGACCCACTGGAATTGTTATACAGTGAATTATAAGTGAAATAATCTGTCTGTAAACAATTGTTGGAAAAATTACATGTGTCATGCACAAAGTAGATGTCCTAACTGACTTGCCAAAACTATAGTTTGTTAACAAGAAATTTGTGGAGTGGTTGAAAAACGAGTTTTAGTGACTCCAACCTAAGTGTATGTAAACTTCCGACTTCAACTGTAGCTCGATAACTACTCTATGTGGAAAAATGTGACTTTAGGGTGTCAGCAAATTTTTATTAAAAGTTTATGCTATTCATCTATGGCAAAGATACTTGTATGTTTCCCCTTTCATCTGTGTCAGGTTTTTTGGGGGGTCCTTTTTTATTTATTTATTTATTTTGTATTTATTTTTTGGCCCAGGTCGTTAGGTCGGGCACTGATGTTGGGCGATTTAGGCATGGCTCGCAGTCGACGTCCAATTCATCCCAAAGGTGTTTGATGGGGTTGAGGTCAGGGTTCTGTGCAGGCCAGTCAAGTTCTTCCACACCTATCTCAACAAACCATTTCTGTATGGACCTCGCTTTGTCCACGGGGACATTGTCATGCTGAAACAGGAAAGGGCCTTTCCCAAACTGTTGCCACAAAGTTGGAAGCACAGAATCGTCTAGAATGTCATTGTATGCTGTAGCGTTAAGATTTCCCTTCACTGGAACTAAGGGGCCTAGCCCGAACCATAAAAAACAGCCCCAGACCATTATTCCTCCTCCACCAAACTTTACAATTGGCACTATGCATTGGGGCAGGTAGCGTTCTCCTGGCATCCGGCAAACCCAGATTAGTCCGTCGGACTGCCAGATGGTGACGCGTGATTCATCACTCCAGAGAACGCGTTTCCACTGCTCCAGAGTCCAATGGCAGCAAGCTTTAAATCACTCCAGCTGACGCTTGGCATTGAGCATGGTGAGTTTAGGCTTTTGTGCGGCTGCTCGGCCATGGAAACATATTTTATGAAGCTCCTGACGAACAGTTCTTGTGCCGCCGTTGCTTCCAGAGTTAGTTTGGAACTCGGTAGTGAGTGTTGCAACCGAGGACAGACGATCTTTACACGCTTCAGCACTCGGTGGTCCTGTTCTGTGAGCTTGTGTGGCCTACCACTTCGCGGCTGAGCCGTTGTTGCTCCTAGACGTTTCCACTTCACAATAACAGCACTTACAGTTGACCGGGGCAGCTCTAGCAGGGCAGAAATTTGAAGAACTGATTTGTTGGAACGGTGGCATCCTGTGACGGTGACACATTGAAAGTCACTGAGCTCTTCAGTAAGGCCATTCTACTGCCTATGTTTGTCTATGGAGATTGCATGGCGGTGTGCTCGATTATATACACATGTCAGCAACGACTGTGGCTGAAATCGCCGAATCCACTAATTTGAAGGGGTATCCACATACTTTTGAATATACAGTGTATTTCTACAGACATTTTAAATTTATTTTTTTATTTCTACTACAGTAGTTACATAGCAATAATAAAGTAATTTGATATACATTACATCTGGATAGACAGTACCTATACATTATACATCGTGTTTTCAGTCATAACAATTATAGAACATTGAGTTTTTCAATCCATCCCTCAGCTACTCTGTCCATCTCGCCTCTGTAAACCGCTCTCTTATGATTTCCATGTGCTACAGTTGAAGTCAGAAGTTTACATACACTTAGGTTGGAGTCATTAAAACTAGTTTTTCAACCACTCCACACATTTCTTGTTAACAAACTATAGTTTTGGCAAGTCGGTTACGACATCTACTTTGTGCATGACAGAAGTAATTTTTCCAACAATTGTTTACAGACAGATTATTTCACTTATAATTCACTGTATCACAATTCCAGTGTGTCCAGAAGTTGATAGAATATAGGATAACAACCTCTCCCTCAACGTGACCAAGACAAAGGAGATTGTGGACTACAGGAAAAAAAAGAGGACTGAGCACGCCCCCATTCTCATCGACAGGGCTGTAGTGGAACAGGTTGAGAGCTTCAAGTTCCTTGGTGTCCACATCACCAACGAACTATCATGGTCCAAACACACCAAGACAGTCGTGAAGAGGGCACAACAAAGCTTATTCCCCCTCAGGAGACTGAAAAGACTTGGCATGGGTCCTCAGATCCTCCAAAAATTATACAGCTGCACAATCGAGAGCATCCTGACTGGTTGCATCACCGCCTGGTATGGCAACTGCTCGGCCTCGGACCGCAAGGCACTACAGAGGGTAGTGCGTACGGCCCAGTACATCACTGGGGCCAAGCTTCCTGCCATCCAGGACCTCTATACCAGGCGGTGTCAGAGGAAGGCCCTCAAAATTGACTCCAGCCACCCTAGTCATAGACTGTTCTCTCTGCTACCGCACGGCAAGCGGTACTGGAGTGCCAAGTCTAGGTCCAAAAGACTTCTCAACAGCTTCTACCCCCAAGCCATAAGACTCCTGAACAGCTAATCATGGCTACCCGGACTATTTGCACTGCCCCCCCACCCCCACCCCATCTTTTTACGCTGCTGCTACTCTGTTAATTATTTATGCATAGTCACTTTAACTCTACCCACATGTACATACCTCAACTAGCCGGTGCCCCCGCACATTGACTCTGCACCGGTACCCCCCTGTATATATAGCCTCCCTATTGTTATTTTATTTTACTTCTGCTCTTTTTTTTCTCAACACTTTTTTGTTGTTTTATTTACTTTTTTATTAAAAAATAAATGCATTGTTGGTTAAGGGCTGTAAGTAAGCATTTCACTGTAATGTCTACACCTGTTGTATTCGGCGCATGTGGCCAATAAAATGTGATTTGATTACACACTAAGTTGACTGTGCCTTTTTAAACAGCTTGGAAAATTCCAGAAAACGATGTCATGGCTTTAGAAGCTTCTGATAGGCTAATTGACATCATTTGAGTCAATTGGAGGTGTTCCTGTGGATGTATTTCAAGGCCTACCTTCAAACTCAGTGCCTCTTTGCTTGACATCATGGCAAAATCAAAAGAAATCAGCCAAGACTTCAGAAAAAAAATTGTTGACCTCCACAAGTCTGGTTCATCCTTGGGAGCAATTTCCAAACACCTGAAGGTACCACGTTCATCTGTACAAACAATAGTATGCAAGTATAAACACCATGGGACCACGCAGCCATCATACCGCTCAGGAAGGAGACACGTTCTGTCTCCTAGAGATGAATGTACTTTGGTGCGAAAAGTGCAAATCAATCCCAGAACAACAGCAAAGGACCTTGTGAAGATGCTGGAGGAAACGGGTACAAAGGTATCTATATCCACAGGAAAACGAGTCCTATATCGACATAACCTGAAAGGTCGCTCAGCAAGGAAGAAGCCACTGCTCCAAAACCGCCATAAAAAAAGCCAGACTACGGTTTGCAACTGCACATTGGGTCAAAGATTGTACTTTTTGGAGAAATGTCCTCTGTTCTGATTAAACAAAAATAGAACTGTTTGGCCATAATGACCATCGTTATGTTTGGAGGAAAAAGGGGGACGCTTGCAAGCCGAAGAACACCATCCCAACCGTGAAGCACGGGGGTGGCAGCATCATGCTGTGGGGGTGCTTTGCTGCAGGAGGGACTGGTGCACTTCACAAAATAGATGGCATTATGAGGAAGGAAATGTATGTGGATATATTGAAGCAACATCTCAAGACATCAGTCAGGAAGTTAAAGCTTGGTCGCAAATGGGTCTTCCAAATGGACAATGACATTTACATTACATTACATTTACGTCATTTAGCAGACGCTCTTATCCAGAGCGACTTACATTATTATTTATTTTTTCATACCCCCTGTGGGAATCGAACCCACAACCCTGGCGTTGCAAACGCCATGCTCTATCAACTGAGCTACAATGACCCCAAGCATACTTCCAAAGTTGTGGCAAAATGGCTTAAGGACAACAAAGTCAAGGTATTGGAGTGGCCATCACAAAGCCCTGACCTCAATCTTATAGAAAATTTGTGGGCAGAACTGAAAAAGCGTGTGCAAGCAAGGAGGCCTACAAACCTGACTCAGTTACACCAGCTCTGTCAGGAGGAATGGGCCAAAATTCACCCAACTTATTGTGGGAAGCTTGTGGAAGGCTACCCGACACGTTTGACCCAAGTTAAACAATTTAAAGGCAATGCTACCAAATACTAATTGAGTGTATGTAAACTTCTGACTCACTGGGAATGTGATGAAAGAAATAAAAGCTTAAATAAATCATTCTCTCTACTATTACTCTGACATTTCACATTCTTAAAATAAAGTGGTGATCCTAACTGACCTAAGACAGGGAATTTTTACTAGGATTAAATGTCAGGAATTGTGAAACTTAGTTTTAAATGTATTTGGCTAAGGTGTATGTAAACTTCCAACTTCAACTGTATATATTTTTCAACTGTGCTGTGATATTTCACAAATTCTGAACCTGTTTAATCACACAGTATCTACAGATTGCGAGTTAAAGATAAATAGTTTTATTAAAAGTATTATTATATTGTTGATTGATTGACTATGGCTTTCCAAACCTCCCAACAATGCTCTTTGTAGGGTTAATTTGAGATACATTTTGTAATTTTTCAGCCATTCCTGAACTTGTGACCAGAAACAAACTACATAGGGGCAATACCAAAATAAGTGATCTTCGTAGCATAATCTGCAGCGCTGAGATGGTTGTATGCCCCATATACATACAATTCTGTTTGTGGAAAGAATTTTGTATAATAATTTAAATTGAAAAACTTCAATTAAAGTTTTGAATCAAGTGTTTTTTTGCGTATCAATTCATAAACCATGTGCCACGGAATCGGCACATCAAAATCTCTTCCCAAATATTTTGCAACCTGTATGGCGCCACTATCAAAATTTTGGTCCTCAACTAAAACTGATATATATTTTTTTATTACCTTTTTTTTTTTTTGCCAAATTTGGTCTTTAATAAAGGGCAGACAAACAAGTTCCCTACCTTCTCCCCCTTCCACTTGCCTCCTCCATTTTTGCGGTAATGCTGCAATCAGTTGGTTGTAGTTTTGGATAGAGCAAACATTTCCATATATTTTGGTTAACTACACGTGACATAACTCCACCTTTCCTATTCATAATATCAGTAACAAAGATAATTCGTTTTTTTAAATGTTTCCATAAAATGTTTTTTTCATCAATTAGTATATTTGAATTTAACCATAATATTTGTTGTAATATTTGTTCTGGCTTTTCTGAAGGATGAAACTGGAATTGCAACCAGCTTTGTATGGCTTGTTTTACAAAGGGCGATAATTTGAAAAAGGTTCCATTTTCATTTAACTGAAAGTGAGAGGTTGTAATCTGGATAAAGGGAAAAAGGCCATTTTTGAACAAGGGGTGAGCCATTCTTACTAATCTACTGGAGAACCAGTTTGGGTTTAAGTAAAACTTTTGTATGCTTTTAGTGAGAGGCTTAATGATTTAATATTTCATAATTTAGCCCCCCAAACTCATTATCATTATATAAATAAGCACGTTTAATTTAGTCTTGCTTTCCGTTCCAAATAAAGTGAAATATTTTCTGCTCAAATAATTTATAAGATAAATCGTTCGTAAATAGGTAAACTGGGATATAAGTATTTATTTTTCCATGGTAGCAAGATATGAACTATTTTTGTTAACTTCCTATTAAAATGAGTTGTAATACGTTCCTTTATTTCTTTAAGGATATGAATACCTGTGTCTGGTGTTAGCTAGTTACTGGCTAGCTGGGTCTTCAACCAGCATGGAATAAAAGGGGGGGGAAGGGTCGTTCAAAACTCTGACACAGTTGTCAAGTCAACACATCCATCAGTGCTGCTGTGAACCGCATCACAAGAGACATGCCAAAAGGGAGATGTGTATATTTTTTTGACATAATTAGCTAGGTTTCCATTCAATTTGCGACAGATTTTCATCAGAATATTCTAAAATCTGCATAAAGAAAATATGCGCATTTTCCCACCCAACAAACTTGTTGCGGATAACAGTAAGTGCATAATGACGCAGTGCACACAAAATGTACTTTTTCTCTTACGTTTTCATGTACTGAATAAAAATATAAAATGTAATGTGTCCATCGCATTTTCAACTCTACCGATATTTTTGTCACAAACTGTTGGGTTAAATAGAAAATGTGCCTACTCTGGTCTTGGCACGTGCTCTCTAGCCAACAGCTGGCAGACACAGTGCGGGTAGGCTGTACGGGTAGGCTAGTCTACATGATGAGAGATTATTATGGAAAAGAGCGAGAATATTTGTCAAATGGCAGTCAAGCATCAATCATCATATCACCAGAATAAGACCCTCGATATTTATTGGAAAGGAGCATCAAGATCACAATGCACTTTCACCACCCTGTGAAGTTCATCATAACTTATTTCATCTGTAGCCTAATAAACTGCATGGTTTCCCGAGTCATAGTGGGAGGACCCACACCATATCATCGCGTGACTCCATGTTTACTTCGATATGATGGTTATTGTTAACAATATTTGCACATAAAGGCATTTCCACCACCATTTCTCGCATAATTAATTTTACAGACACAAAAAGATCCCACCATGTCGAATGAACAAATGATCTGTCTGCATTTATAAAATTGTACCGAAACGACATGTTTTTTGTACGATTTTATTTCTCCGTCACCCACGCGCTTTCAACATTTAGATAATAAAGCATTGACCTTTCCATTGTGCTAATGGAAGATTGGTTGATTTCCAGTTTTTAAATATATGTTTTTTTCAACATGATTGACGAGAAAAGCATCGTCCAACCCATCGGGTATCTCACTGCACCCTCATATGCTATGTCTTGAAATATGCAGACCGACAAATTAAAAGTAAATTTACATTGTAATATTTCTGACAGCCAACTTTCTCACTCCGCCCATAACTTTTGGACTTTATAGCATTCCCAGAAGGCATGGATTATTGAGTCAGTGAATAATTTTTTTTTTTTTTATATGGTATGACTTTACTCACATAACTGTGGATGGAAACGTGGTTAGTGATGCAATTTCAATGTTGTTTGAGTTGCTTTGTGTACCACCAAATTAGCTTGAGAGGATTTTACTGCAATATTGCTCACTGCATCCAAGTTGCTTGAGATGGGCATTTCAAAGTGCTGTCAGTCAAGGTGAGCTCATGAATATAATCTCCTCGCCCACTCAGCCTATCTTTTCAAACTTTCTGGTAGTTAGCAATGAGAGAGAAATTGTTTCTCAAATTTTGAGCATTTCTATCCAGAACAAATATTATTTGAGATATTTTAGTCACTCAAAAGGCTATTTTAAATGGGAATCAGAATGACTGTTCATGACCTTTTTAAATTCAGCTCCTCCCTTGTCAGAGACACAACCCAGTTTACTGTAAATACTCTGGCTGGAATTGAGGCGGAGAGAGTGATGGGGACAGATAGGGGAAGAGGAGAGAAATGGGTTCAGGGAAATGAGCTCATTCTCAGTGAAGGGAGGGGGAGAGAGACTGTTGTGGTCTGGGAGGTTCTAAATGACAGAGTTGAGTCTTTGCCATTAGCTAGGTTAACAGATTTCCATGCCAATATTCTAAAATCTGCATAAAATAATATATGCGCATTTTCCCACCATGTGTTTCCATCAAAAAGACCGTGCGTGATGACGTAGTTCACATTAACATGACTTTTGCGGTTAAAATTCCCATGTACCCCCCCCCCCCCCCCCCCCAAAAAAAAAAAAAGGCTTTCCATCGCATTTTCAAATCTGCTGATGGTTTTGTCACAACAATTTTAGCATTATATAGTTAATGTGCCCACTCTGGTATTGGCACGTGCGCTCTAGCCAACAGTTCGCAGATACAGTGCGGGTAGGCTACCTACATGATGAGATTATTATCGATAAGAGCGACATTATTTTTAATTGTCAAACGGCAGCCAAGCATCGGTCATCATGTCACTAGAATAAGACCCTCGATATTTATTGAAAGTAGCATCAAGCTCATCACCGTGCACTTTCACCACCCTGTGAAGTTCATCATAATTTATTTAATCTGTAGTCTAATAAACTGCATGCGTTCCCAAATCGTTGTGGTAGGACCATAAACCATATCATCGCGTGACTCCAAGTTTACTTCGATTGTTATTATATCAATATTTGTTCATAAAACCATTTCCACTGCCATTTCAAAAATATTAAATTTTACAGACACAAAAAGATCCCACTTTGTCTAGCGTATTTTGTTTTGCTGTTTCCATCAGGCCTGTCGTGTCATTTGTTATTCGACATGTACTTTACTCGCATATAAAGGTTGGATGAAAACCTGGTTAGAGATGGAAAATATTTACCTCCATGAAAACAGTACCAAGGAGCAGAGAGAGGAGATCCCAGGACGCCTTTATGAGGTTGTCACGCGTTATTGTTTCCATAGGGAGCTTTTTGGCACCGGTCTTCCTGTACAGTCAATTTTTACGGTAATGTATGTCTTCCGGAGTATACCATCGCTAAGGAGGCAGACCGTATATTTCACCAAATGGCTGCTATTTACTGTTTTGAGGCCAAGCGATAGGCCTAAGCCAGTGTGGTTAATTTCTTTGCTGTTTGCGATAGGCCTAAGCCAGTGTGGTTAATTTCTTTGCTGTTTGCTATAGAGTATATTCACAACCAAATAGATACAGGGAGGATATCACAATGTAAATGTGTTTTTATTTATTGATACTGGGGAAATATGCTTGCCCTTTACTTTACTTCTGTTGTGCATTCAGTTTTATGAGGATAAAAATGCTTTGTTGCAGAAGCAATTATATGTGAATTCACTGCTAACAAAAGCTGGTTGCTATTCATTGTGTCTTTGTGGAGACCTTAGCAAGAATCAAGAGACGCTGTATACTGAAAATGGTGATGAATATTGATTAATACACATAGATATATTTGATGTTACACTTCTTATCCTCTAAATATCCCTCTGTTTTCTTCTTCTCTTTTGCATCTCGTTCTACCAGGAAGTAGAGGTCAGTTTCTTTTTTATTCTACTCTTCTCTTTTTCTTTTGTCTGATGTCTTTTTTTAATGCTTCTAACTCACTTTCATTGTCTCTTTCTCTCTCTTTATTGCCATTTCCTCTCTCTCCCCTGCCCGCCTTAGCCTCTCTCTCTCTCTTTCTCTCTTTCAACTTGTCAATTTTAATGAGGGTGGTTACTGTTCTAATTAAAGGAAAAATCCACTCCAAAACTATCTTTTGGTATTTTTTTTAAAATTAGTCCGCTGTTGATAGAGTCCCAACATCTTTTGCAGGTCAGCAATTAAGTTTTCAAGATATAGGACTTTTCAAAGTTTTGTGGCAAGTGACAATTTGCTTTTTGAAAGTCCTACATGTTGAAAACTTGATTGCTGACATGCAAAACATTTGGGACTATATCAAAAGTGGACTAATGAAAAAAAGACCAAAAGATAGTTTTGGAGTGATTTTTCCTTTAAGTATAAAAAGTAAAGAATACAATTCAAAGCCCGCTTCCCCCTGAAGCCATATGTTCCACCGCCATTGGATGTGTCCCGAATGCATCCCAGACTGTATTCCCTATATCGTGCACTACTTTTGACTTTACACCAGAGCCCGATGGGATAAGTAGTGCATTATATAGGGTATAGGGTGCCATTTGGGACAGACATTGTGTGCAAGAATGTTCTGATGCCGTACTACAGAATGCCATGCTGCTCCTTAAATCCCCATGCAGACCCATAGGTCTCTGGTCAAAAGTAGTGCAATATATACGGAATAGGGTGCTATTTGGGAAGCAAACATTGACTCACTCATTGAGTTAATCATGATGCTTCTTTCACTGTGGGTTAACCTGGAACTCTCTGTCTCTGCAGGATGACTATGTGCGGGCCTTGGATGAGAATCAGGGAGGCTCTAATGAAAGTATGTTTCACCAAAGTTCTTTCAAGTACCTTTTAATCTATTACAGTGCCTTCAGAAAGTATTCACACGCCTTGACTTTTTCCAAACACACTACCCCATAATGTCAAAGTGGAATTATGTTTTTAGAAATGTATACAAATTAATTAAAAATGAAAAGCTGAAATGTCTTCAGTCAATAAGTATTCAACCCCTTTGTTATGGCAAGCCTAAATAAGTTCAGGGGTTAACATTTGCTTAACAAGTCACATAATACATTGCATGGACTCACTCTGTGTGCAACAATAGTGGTTAACATGATTTTTGAATGACTACCTCATCTCTGTACCCCACACATACAATTATCTGTAAGGTCCCTCAGTCGATCAGTGAATTTCAAACACAGATTCAACCACAAAGACCATGGAGGTTTTCCTCACAAAGGAGGGCACCTATTGGTAGATGGGTAAATATAAAACAAGCATGGTGAAGTTATTAATTACATTTTGAATGGTGAATCAATACACCGTCACTACAAAAATACAGGCGTCCTTCCTAGCTCAGTTGCCGGAGAGGAAGGAAGCCTATCAGGGATTTCACCATGAGGCCAATGGTGACTTTAAAACAGTTACTGAGTTTAATGGCTGTGATAGGAGAAAGCTGAGGATGGATCAAACACATTATAGTTACTCCACACCTAATTGACAGAGTGAATAGAAGGAAGCTTGTACAGAATTTTAAAAAATCCAAAACATGTATCCTGTTTGCAATAAGACACTAAAGTAAAACTGCAACAAATGTGGCAAAGAAATCTACTTTATGTCCTGAATACGAAGCGTTATGTTTGGGGCAAATCCAACACAACACATCACTGAGTACCATTTTCAAGCAAGGTGGTGGCTGCATCATGTTATGGGAATGCTTGTCATAGGCAAGGACTAGGGAGTTTTTTTAGGATAAAAAATTAACAGAATACCGCTAAGCACAGGCAAAATCCTAAAGGAAAACCTGGTTCAGTCTGCTTTCCAACAGACACTGGGAGACAAATTCACCTACTGGGAGACAATAACCTGAAATGCAAGGCTAAATTTACACTGGAGTTGTTTACCAAGATGACATTGAATGTTCCGGAGTGGCCTAGTTACAGGTTTGACCTAAATTGGCTTGTAGATCTATGGCAAGACTTGAAAATGGCTGTCTAGCAATGATCAACAACCAACTTGACAGAGCTTGAAGAATTTTTAAAAGAATAATGTACAAATATTGTACAATCCAGGTGTGCAAAACTCTTAGAGACTTGCCCAGAAAGACTCACAGCTGTAATCACTGTGAATACTTATGCAAATGAGATATTTTTGTATTTCATGTTCCATAAATGTGAAAAAATTACAGAAAACATGTTTTCACTTTGTCATTATGGGGTATTGTGTGTAGGTTGGTGAGATTTAAACATATTTAATCCGTTTTGAATTCAGGCTGTAACACAACAAAATGTGAAATAGTCAAGTGGTATGAATACTCTCTGAAGGCACTATACAGTATGTTTGTGTGCTGTCAATGTCATTTACTATGGACTTTATTTACGAGAATTCATCAGCTAATCAGGGTTTTTTCTGGATCAAAAAGGAACATTGGTGGTGGGCTTGGCAGGGGCCATCAGTGCGGTTGGATTTTAGAGAAAATGTTAGAGGCCCCCATCTTGGTAGTGTGCAGACATTCTTGCATGTTTAAGCCAATTTCCTGCATTTCTACGCATTTTGCCATGCAGCTGAGAGAAAATGTTGCCGTTGTACAGCACATTTCCAATGATTCTACATATTCTGCCATGGAGATGGGAGAACATTTTGCAGTTTTAAAGCTATTTTCCTGCAATTCGATGCATTTAACCATGGCTAATGCTGTGTTCTTTTGATCAAACATAATAACAAAATCTATACTGATAAATGCATTTTATTTTTTTATTATCCCTGATTGTCTAGCTTTCTATTTGGTTGATTGATAGTTCTCAAAGATCATATTACAAAAAATATATATAGGTCCATTATCTTTTCTACATACTTTATATCTGGTTTTAGTCTTTTTTAAGTTAACACTGAAAGCGTTTTTCCATCCTGAAAATTAATTTCACCCCGCCCCCAACAAATATATATTTACACTGTTTAGACTTAGGCGACCCCAAAAAATGCTTAGGTGGCCTGCCAAAGGATTTTTAATGGCAGAAGAATCCCTGCCAACCACTCTTGAGAGCTGACTAAATCAGTGTAGGCTAGCTAGCTAATCATCTGAGGGACCAGTCAGCAACATCACAGGGACCAGTGCTGGGCAAGGAAAATGTGGTTGAAGATCACTGGGTTTATCAGACACGACACGGTACATAAGAATGAGAATCAATGCACCACGACACGCTTCAGCCCAGGTTGCATTAAAGGGGAACAAAAAGGTGCTCAACTGAGGTACCAAACGTTACTGTGGTGTATTAGACACAACAGGGTAAATGTTTGTTTACAATCCCATTTGTATTCTCGAGTCAGATGTTGTCCACACATGTAGTGGCCTCTCAGTGAAAAGTTCAAGTGATGTTAGAGATGTTAGCTAACTGTAGCAGCAGCCGTCTGACTGTCTCTTTCTCTCCGTGGAGGTTCTGAGCTCTGCTGTCGACCACCTACAAATCAATGTTGAGTACCCTGTCTTTTCTCCACTCCTCTGTCTATGACATCCAGGCTGCCCAAATGACACCCTATTCCCTATATGTTGCACTACTTTTGACCAGAGCCCTATGGGCCCTGGTCAAACGTAGTACGCTATATAGGGAATAGGGTGCCATTTGGAACATAGACTCAAATCATGTCCACGACCATTGTCTTGATTTGCAGCTCAAATAAAGTGGTGGGAATGGAATGGCTGAGTCCATTAGTACGGCTACATCTCTGAGCTTAATTAGCGGGTAATTATGACTTTCTGTAGAGGGCTGGAGAGAGAGAGGGAGAGAGAGAGGGAGAGGGAGAGGGAGAGGGAGAGGGTGGGAGGGAGGGAGTCAGTGTGATGTCTTCACTGTAGAGCCAGGCTGATCAGATACCATTTCAGGCCTCGTTAGTCTAAATCCAGAGAGGATAGACAACCAATCACACTCAATACTGTCACACACAATGGCTGTGTTTACACAGCCATCCTAAGAACCAAATTCAAAAATGTTTTACATAGGCCTATCCAATCTTTTTACTGACTGAATCTGTATTAGAATGGATAACCACATGCAGGGTCTAATTAGGAGAGTTTATGGCAGCACGCTCTTATGGCATAACATGGATAGAGGTGGAGAGCAATGAAGGGAAAAGGAGTGAGAGATGATGTGACGAAGATACAGAGGGAGGAGGGTGTAGAGTGGGAGACTCGGGATGTAATAGAGACTGCTGAGAGCGAGGAGATAGATAAAGAGACAGAGAGATAAAGGGAGATGGTTGTTTAAAGAGAGGGAGTGTGACAGGGGGTACTGAGAGGGAGAGAGTGAAAGAGAGAGAGTTCTCAGTAATATAGCAGATTGAGCTGCAAATCAGTCAGTCCAAAAACTAGACCTCCATCAGACCGCAGTGCACAGAGCCTGTTGCTATGGAGACGTCATCATTGTGTTGCAGGCACTACTTTAATCCATGGAAGCCTGTTAAGTTATCACTGGGCTAAGGCAACCACCTTATGCTATTGTACAACACACAACGCAACTCCAAGCCTGCCAGCACCAGTATTGTGGCTGCTGCTATACCAACAAGATTTATTTACAAATGTTTTCTATAAACATTATGAGGATGGTCTTTTCTATTTGCCTTTTCTTATTTCTTTAGCAAAGGTTAAATCCTCTGAAGAAGACACAACAGAAGGTTATGCAGTCGACTGTCTGTAGGGCTCCAACATAGGCAAAGGCACAAATCAGAGAAACAGATTTCTCTTTATTTTCTCCTTCTCTCTCTTTCCATTTGTCTCTCTCATTTTCTCTTTCCCCTCACTCTCTCCATCTCTATTTCCTCTCCCTCTCTCTCCGTCCCTCGCGCTCCCTCTCTCTCTAAGGGCCAAGTTGGCAGACAGCCTGCTCTGTCCTGATCCTGCTGATGCATTAGTGTGAATTCGCGGGGGAGGGAGGGGAGGGAGGGGAGGGAGGGAGGGAGGGAGAGGAGAGATAGAGAGAGAGGGAGGGCGAGAGAGAGAGAGAGAGAGAGAGAGAGAGGGATAGAGAGATAGACTGTTCTTCTCTCTCTCTCGTTCTCTCTCTCTCTTTCTGCTCTCTCTTCTCTCTCTCTCTCTCTTCCGCTCTCTCTCCTCGCTCCGTCTCTCTCTCTCTCTCTCTCTCTCGCTCTCTCTCTCTCTCTCTATCTCTCTCCTCTCGGCTCTCTCGCGTCTCTCTCCTCTCGTCGCCTCTCTCTCTCTCTCTCTCTCTCTCTTCTCTCTCTCTCTCCTCTCTCTCTCTCTCTCGCTCTCTACCCTCTCTCTGCTCTCGCGCGCGCGCTCTCTCGTCTCTCTCTCTCTTGATCTTTTTCCCTTTTGTATATATATTAATTTTCCTGAACACTCCTACATGTACCCATTACATTGTTATTAAATTATTAGAGATTTACATTTTAGTCATTTAGCAGACGATCTTATCCAGAGCGATTTACAGTTAGTGAGTGCATACATTTATACACAAATCGTTTTTGCACCTACCATGTGTCATGTCCGCAATGGTCATGTGAGGTGAAATGTGTATATTTTGGGATGTGAGCACTCGAAACGTTGTCAATAAAGCGGTGAATTGGGAGCTTCAACAATGTGCGGGCCTTCTTGTTCTTTACAGGTTGGATCTTTACCATGACTCTTCTGTGGCTCTGTCGTGTGGGTGCGCATGCATCCATGTGTGTGAGGCACAACAGGCCCGTGGCGGACGAATAGGGGGTGTATTGTTTTGGATTTGCTTTTCCAATCTGATCTGTGGGTTTGCTATGATAATCTGCTGAGGAACTCTGTTTGACTGATTTAGTCTTCTTCATCCTACATTGCCATAACATGAGATGATACAGTATGTTGTGCATCACATAAGAGCTGATTTTAGAAGAGAATGCGAAGAGAGAACAGCGATTCTGTTATGAGAATGCTTGAGATTTGAGAATGAATATAAATGTCAAGGGGTTTAAGTCCTGCTAATTGATAAAGCACTCATTGGTATTGTGTTGTAAGGACCCAGTTGCCTGCAGTAGCCAAAGGTATTGATGGATAGCGTTGGTGTATAGAGATGGGGGAGGGAGAGAATGTGTCATCCGGTTCAGGCTTTGGTGGTCTTGGTAGTTGCATACAGTGGTAACATATGAGTGTGTGCGTATGTGGTGTGTGTGCGTCATCTGGTTCAGGCCTTTAGGAAGCTGCAGACCGCAGTGACATATGAGTGTGTGTGGTGCTGACACACAGCCACTGGCCTACCGGACACTCCCGCAAGGGGGGGGGGGGGGGTTGACCTTTACTGGTACAATAGCAAGTACACATTCTTGGTCCCCGGCCCCAGTATGCCCACAGTGGTCTGCTCGCTTGTCCTTCTGATGACTGCTCTGCAGTTCCTCTGTCTCTCTGATCAATATGAAGCACACTTGGGTGAGTTTGGTTACATACACTGCATTTGAGCCTATTGCAGTCTCTTGTGCCCACTTGACAAGCAACCAAAACAAATTCCTTTTTCCTTTAGGAAACCAATCTTCTCCCTGTGGCTCCTTTTCCTAAATTGTGGACACAGCTCCCATTTGTGACTGGCGTTACAGAACAGACATGTGATGTGTTGGGTTTGGGGGGTTTGCTGTGGTGATGACACGCTGGTAGCAAAGCTGCTCCCTGTAGATTTGTGAATAGACGTGTGAATGAGCCTTGACCTGTGGCCTTTGAGTCTTGTTTCTGGATTGTGTAGGATCTTGAATATCGCCGAACTCTGGATGTGGCTATTCTCACTTGTTTTTCAATGAACAGGATGAGATCAAGGATTCTAGCACGTCTGCTCCTGTAACTCACAAGCAACTGGCCTCCACCTCTTCCTGACTTTGTAGGGTAATTTCAGGATGATGTTCTTTAAGCTGGAGGCCAGATCCCCCCCCTTCCCCCCACTGGCTATCCTAAGTTGAATGCACCGATTTGTAAGTCGCTCTGGATAAGAGCGTCTGCTAAATGACTTAAATGTAAATATCTTCCATTGCATTACAACAACCTCTGAGGTATAACGCATAGGCCTGTAATGCCTTGTGGTCTTCAGATTTGATGCTAGGCCAGCTAAAAGCCTTCTCCATGCATTGGCAATCTTGTATTCATTACCGTAGTGCTCCTTTTAATAAACCCCTGGCTTTCTAATAGCCTTATCTGGAGCCATATGTTGGCAGCTCCTAATTAGCTCTCGAGGCTGCCCTCTGGTGTACTGTTCGAGAAAGTGCAGTTTGTCTTGGCTAGTTTGGCCTCAATACCATGTTCAAATGACTGAATGAAGGACCTGTACTGTAAAATGAATTACCATCAAAAACAGTAATGTCTCTAGGTGGCAGAAATGAATAATGTTGCTGTTTGACTAGCATAGCAGTAACTTCATTCGGTCTTTGGAGAATGGTGATGAGAGGGTTTTCTATGTTTTCCTGTGAAATGTCCTGAGCACCGTACTGTGAATTACAAAGTCTTGCCTGTTCTCCCTATGGCCCTCTATGTGAGTTGGTCAGCACAGATGGGCCTTGTCCTGTATAGGCCTACAGACTTGGGTTAGAGTCTTGTGCAGCAGTGTGCTCTCCATGAGCTACTGTCTGAATCCCACTGTGTACTTATTGTTCTGATTGAGCTGAAACACTGTGAGCCTGGGCTGGTTGAATGTCAATGTGCTCAATTAATTGGGGTCCTTCTTTGGGATGCACACTTGGTGCATGTCTGGCAGAAGTGCCCCTTTGCCCTGTGTGAAATTCAAGGTCAGAGATCTTGCATCTCTCTGCCGTTTCCTCAAAGTAGTCATTCATGCCATCTATTGTTGTTGAGTTGGCCTTTCTTCCCCTGCAGATGTCAAGACCGTGAGCTTTGCTGAGGCAGCTGCTATTTCAGTTTGCAGCTCAAGAGTCTCCCTCTTTCCCTCAGTTCCATCTTTTGTTGGTTTAATTCCTCCTCCTTATCCTCTAGATGGTGTTTGAACATTTAGAGCAGCAGCCTTTGTTATTAATGCTGCTCTTTCAGCCTCTGCTCGGATGCAGGCTGAGGATGTGGAAGATACACCTGAGTGTGAACTCCTGTTAGACCTGCGGCTGGAGGTTTGGGACACACTGTCAGGAGATTTAACATCATCTTTCTCATCAGTGCATTCATCAGGTTTCTCTGCTGCTGGGGCTGCACCTGAAATCCATTTGGACACAGTAACAAGAAATGCATGAATATGCTGCCATTTGGGTTCATACCAATTCAACATGTCATTTTTTTCTTTCATCCTCAGGTATTTATTTTTATTTAACCTTTATTTAACCAGGTAGGCCAGTTGAGAACAAGTTCTCATTTACAACTGCGACCTGGTATCATGTGATAGGAATCAATCAAATCTTTGAATCCATTCAACATTTCATTGAACTGAAGCAAGTTTTTTTTTTTTTTACAACTTCAATATTCTTATTGTCAGTCATCAGATCAGTAACAATGTTAATTTTGCCATTCAGCTTTCCCAGTTTAACCCTTCTGGATTTTCACATTTGGGAAACTTTCTTCTTCAAGGCCTTTTCTGATAAAGACTCCTCCACTAGCGCCATGTCGCCCCCATACACAACGCTATCTGCAGTGGTAGAATTCTCTTCAGACGTATTCCCTCAATAGGCTATCACAATAATATCTATATTTCAATATGCAACCATGAACATGGATCAATAAGCGCTCCGGTGCGCTGCGCTCCTTTAACAGTGTAACTATATCATTCATCTTCACACTTCAATGAATTAGGCAGTGGAGATTGGAAATCGGTTTCTTTGCATTCAATCCTTTGTCCAAATAAGTCACTCCAATAGCAAACTTTCCATTTAATTTGAATGCATGATAAATGTAGCCATAAACACTTAAATGTACCCATTAATCAATCCAACAGTTTGTGTGCTTGTTAGGCTACTTTACATACCCAAGTGTGTCTTTTCTATGCTGTAGTCTTGAGGCCACGCAAGTCCTTTGTTCCTTTTTTTACACGTCTTTCCAAACAATCCAGCTTTTCAATTCCAAAAGTATTTTCCAGCTAAGTCTTTTGACTAAATGTAGTGGCTAAATTGTTCAACATAATTGTCCCTATACAATTTCCATTTCAATCCTTTAGCCACAATGGAGAGTGGTGAAATGTTAGTCTTGACGCGTACAAATCCAATGTCCAGAGTTTGATTCAAGTTTTAAAATAATAATCAATTTATTTGTTCTTCTGGATACAAAAATTTAAAGAAAATTCTACCAAAACGAATTCTGATTATTCAAACTAAAGAAACAAACAGCATGGTAAACATGGAACATTGAATATTTTCCCGGTATTTTACAAACGTTCCATCCCGAGAAGAAATCACTTTTCCACCGGGTAACCTGGTATTTCCCGCCAAACCCAGAAGTGTCATTCAAAATCATTATAAAGCAGATAAATAGGCCTATGTCTGGATTTGATTACAGCTTTGATAAAAAATGTAAGCCTGATGCTACCTGAGCCTGATGAGCCATACATTAAATACATTTAATGAGCCCAAACCCCAAAAAGCCCAAATGATTGTGCCATTATCCAATACATATTGTATATTATATACAGTTGAAGTCGGAAGTTTACGTACACTTAGGTTGGAGTCATTAAAACTTGTTTTTCAACCACTCCACAAATTTCTTGTTAACAAACTATAGTTTTGGCAAGTCGGTTAGGACATCTACTTTGTGCATGACAGAAGTAATTTTTCCAACAATTGTTTAGACAGATTATTTCACTTATAATTCACTGTATCACAAATCCAGTGGGTCAGAAGTTTACATACTGTGACTGTGCCTTTTAAACAGCTTGGAAAATTCCAGAAAATGATGTCATGGCTTTAGAAGCTTCTGATAGGCTAATTGACATCATTTGAGTCAATTGGAGGTGTACCTGTGGATGTATTTCAAGGCCTACCTTCAAACTCAGTGCCTCTTTGCCTGACATCATGGGGAAATCAACAGAAATCAGCCATGACCTCAGAAAAACAATTGTAGACCTCCACAAGTCTGGTTCATCCTTGGGAGCAATTTCCAAACGCCTGAAGGTACCACATTCATCTGTACAAACAATAGTACGCAAGTATAAACACCATGGGATCACGCAGCCATCATACGCTCAGAAAGGAGACGTGTTCTGTCTTCTAGAGATTAACGTACTTTGGTGCGAAAAGTGCAAATCAATCGCAGAACAACAGCAAAGGACCTTGTGAAGATGCTGGAGGAAACAGGTACAAAAGTATCTATATCCACAGTAAAACAAGTCCTATATCGACATAACCTGAAAGGCCGCTCAGCAAGGAAGAAGCCACTGCTCCAAAACCGCCACAAAAAAGCCAGACTATAAAATTGTTTTTTAAAAATAGAACTGTTTGGCCATAATGACCATCGTTATGTTTGGAGGAAAAAGGGGGTGCTTGCAAGCCGAAGAACACCATCCCAAACGTGAAGCACGGGGGTGGCAGCATCATGCTGTGGGGGTGCTTTGCTGCAGGAGGGACTGGTGCACTTCACAAAATAGATGGCTTCATGAGGAAGGAATATTATGTGGATATATTGAAGCAACATCTCAAGACATCAGTCAGGAAGTTAAAGCTTGGTCGCAAATGGGTCTTCCAAATGGACAATGACCCCAAGCATACTTCCAAAGTTGTGGCAATATGGCTTAAGGACAACAAAGTCAAGGTATTGGAGTGACCATTACAAAGTCCTAACCTCCAATCCTATAGAAAATATGTGGGCAGAACTGAAAAAGCGTGTGCGAGCAAGGAGGCCTACAAACCTGACTCAGTTACACCAGCTCTGTCAGGAGGAATGGGCCAAAATTCACCCAACTTATTGTGGGAAGCTTGTGGAAGGCTACCCGACACGTTTGACCCAAGTTAAACAATTTAAAGGCAATGCTACCAAATACTAATTGAGTGTATGTAAACTTCTGACCCACTGGGAATGTGATGAAAGAAATAAAAGCTGAAATAAATCATTCTCTCTACTATTATTCTGACATTTCACATTCTTAAAATAAAGTGGTGATCCTAACTGACCTAAGACAGGGAATTTGTACTAGGATTAAATGTCAGGAATTGTGAAAAACTGAGTTTAAATGTATTTGGCTAAGGTGTATGTAAACTTCCGACTTCAACTGTATAGGCTACTGCACATTATGCATGACAGAAAAACATAACAGCCCATAGATGTAGCTAGCTATATGCTCTCTTGGATAAATAAATTAAACTAGCTCCAGTAGGCTTATCTTTTTGAGTGTGAACTGTATTACTGTACTGTACTGTATTATATCGACTGGAATTACTCACCTTGTTCAAACCATGATAAAGCAGGGAGAGAACATGCAATTCTGGTGCAGCTCATGCGGCTTACAAAGTTACAAGTATAGGCTAGCGAATTTGATTTTAATTTTGAAATATAGTAGGGCCTATTTGTATAATTTAGTAGGCTGACTCATATATATATATATATATACCTTTCATAATATTTCCCGTAAAGTTAATAGCCTCTCCTCTTTCTCTCTCTATTGTTGCATCATTCCTTTCCCGCTTTCAACAATTAACTGAAATAAGTTTTGTTGTCTTTATCTTCATTGCATTTACATTTACGTCATTTAGCAGACGCTCTTATCCATCATTCTGATGACATGATTGAATAATATAGGACTAGAATAAAATGCGTATGGGTTTCCCTTCTCTTCACAAAGATGTAATGGTTATGGGTCTGAATAAATAACTGCTATTATAGCTTACCACCATCGCGCATTCGCTCTTCTTTCAAACTACCCGTGAGTTCTATTGGCTTCTGTATTTAACATTCAGCAAACGAGCTTGCGTCCCTCTTCGAATAGTCTGTTGGTATAAGAAATGCTAAAAGAAATCATGTCCAGCAAGCTATTCTAGGGTAGCTTTTCTTGCATGGGTCTCCAAGAGCTAAGGAGCATTTTTTAAGGAGAGAGGCCAGTGGAGCACAAGTGTGTGTGTATTGCACAAGAGACAGAGGCTATATATTAGAAGCTTATTATGCATTATATTAGCTGCAGCAAATATAGGCCTACCTGTCACATGATGAGATGATAGGTCTACATGCATTGTGAATTGCGCTCCATACTGAGATGGGCAGTCTGTCCCCACCCTGAGCATTGATGAATCATCATGCAGAGAGCAGCGAGAAGGCCGTAGAGAAGCCAGATTTAGACATTGCATATAATTGAACAGTTCCATTTCACGTCATGCTGTTCATATAAATAATTTATTATAATTTACCGGTTTCTCGCAGTTATTTATCCCAGTGAAAGGGAGTGGTTTTGACCAATTCGGCACATTTGGGTAGACTTGATACAAAATAGTCCAGTATTGCAATGCTTCACTGGATCAATCTGAAACTTTGAGCACACACTGCTGCCTAGTGGGCAAAATCGAAATTACGCCTAAACTGCAATATTATATTGTGGCCTTTCGCTTGCATTTCAAAGATGATGAAAAAAAAAATAATAATAGAAAACGCATGTTTTTTTGTTTGTATTATATTTTACCAGATCTAATATGTTATGTTCGCCTACATTCATTTCACATTTCCACAAACTTCAACACGTTTCCTTTCAAATGGTATCAAGAATATGCATGTCCTTGCTTCAGGTCCTGAGCTACAGGCAGTTGGATTTTGGTATGTCATTTTAGGCTAAAATGGAAAAAAAAGTGTCAGATCCTTAAGAGGTTAACTGTTTTCTCCATTGGCCTGAGAGGGTGTACACACACTTGACAGGGGATTAGTGGCAAACACACATACAACCGAAATTCATCATGAATTGGAAACATACAAATATACAATATAACCTATTTGGCTCCTACACCGTTAACAGCACAAACAAATTGTGCACTCATAAGTTTAATGCAACGGCAGTAATGGAGTTTATCGAAATGGAAATGTTTATACTTGGTGGGCATGAATGGAGAATGGTGGTTCAATGTGATGAGAGAGCAGTAGAGAGCTTGCATCATCACACAAGCCATTGTTTATAGGGATTATATATATGTGTGTCTCTTAATTGGCCTGGGCTATTGTTTGCATTCAAGACCAGGTCGTTTTTATTTCTCTGTTTGTCACTGTCAGAGTAGCCACTTATTTCGGTAATTTGTGTGCTTTTCAAAAAGATTCTGCTTATGTCATCTATCATGTAAATGAATAGAATTGCATTAAATGCATACAAATAAAGCAATTTTATTTTCCAGATCCTGCAAAAAAAAATAATGTGTGTTAATCCAAAAAACATGTCTGCTCAACTGTATGCCACTACGCAAATGCGATTTATAGATGCATGCAATGCTCTATTATAAAGGGCATTTTCTTCACCACCCTGGCAGCACCCCCAACTCAAAACATCTTCCCGCAGCCATGCAAGGTGGCTTTCCTCTTTTGTTCTCTATTGTTCCTCAAGCAAGGGGGAGGCCGATGACATCACAGATTCCCATCAGACCAACTCCTTGAAGTTTGCAGTTGTGATTAAAAAACACTAATTTGCTCAAAACATATTTTTTTACCCTTTAGTGTGTGTACTTTACTGTATTTATACTTGGGATATCGCTTTTCAACAGGACGTCTTTTAATCCATGAGGTTCAGCTGTGTTCACTCACAAGCCAGCAGGCACGTTCCAGTCTGATTACTTCTAGCTTCAAGTGCAGGGGAGGGCATGGATATGAAGTTGCTACCCCTCACAGCACGACAGGTAGAAGAAAGACCATTCTAGACCATCTACAAAGATCCCTCTAGGCCCCATGAAGAAAAAGTGTCATTCCGCCTAGGTCTTCCTCTACATACCCTACTGTATAGTCTCTATACATGCAATGCTCACCTACAGAGGAGGTTTTAACTGCATGGTTTTAGCATTGAACCACATGCTAATTGACACGTCAGAACACAAAAGCAACGCCACCTCACTGCCTGGAAGGTGCATCAAAGCTGGGACCGAGAGACGGCTATCTCAAGGCCATCGGACTGTTAAATAGCCATCACTAGGCGGCTCCCACCCGGTTACGTAACCCTTCACCTTAGAGGCTGCCGCCTCATATACATAGACTTGAAATCACTGGCCACTCTAATAATGTTTACATATTTTTGCTTTACTCATCTCATATGTATATACTGTATTCTATTCTACTGTATTTTAGTCTATGCCACTCCGACATTGCTCATCCTAATATTTCTAATATTTATATATTCCTTAATTCCATTATTTTACATTTAGGTTGTGTGTATTGTTGTGAATTGTTAGATATACTGCACTGTTGGAGTTAGAAACAGAAGCATTTCGCTACACCCGCAATAACATCTGCTAAACATGTGTATGTGGCAAATAAAATTTGATTTTTATTTAATTTGGAACAGATCCATTAACAGAGCACAGTCCCTTGAATGTCCTTCCGCTAGACCTAAGAGCAGAGGGGGCCTATAATTAACAACATCTGGACCTGGAAGGCCTGTTTGGCTTTATCTACTGGGTAGTGAAGTTGATGTGCATGTCACTGTAATGGCTATATGAGGATGGGTGGACTTCAACCATCAGACATGTAAATATTGGCATTATTCGCCAAACGAATGAGTAGTTATGTTGAACTGCACTGTAAGACTACCACCATCTGACATGCAAATGCTTACATTGTTTTGCAACTAGTAAGTTAATAGAAGGAAAGTAGCTTGAATCACTCCAATTGAGATGACCGAGGGAATTGAGAATGGGGGGAGTGAAAATAGAGATTGTGGTGGGGGGGGGAGATGGAATACAGAAAGAAAGAACATGTAGAAAGTGGACACAGCAGAAGGTTTACATCAAGAGACAAGCAGAGAGAGAAAGAGAACTGGATAGTCACAGGGAGAGAGAGCTGGTGAGAAACATACATAGAAAGAAAGACTGCTCTTCTCGTTTCCACAGAAAAGGAACATTAGATGGATAAAGGGGAGGGAGAAGGCGAGAAACACAGATGTTTCTATAGTCTGATCTCCTTTTCACAGATGTTTCTATAGTCTGATCTCCTTGTCTTTCCACAGATGTTGACACTACCAAGGACCCCTGTCAGAAGGTGAAGTGTAGCCGACACAAGGTGTGTATTGCCCAGGGATACCAGAGGGCTGTGTGTGTCAACCGCAAGAAGCTTGAGCACAGGTGAGTGTGTCTAGCCCCCAAGCAAGATGGTTGATGAATTTGACTTGACGTGCACTCAAAGAGATAAATGTGTGAACACTAAGCACATGCGCGCACACATACTAACGCAAGCAAGCACGCACCCACTCACATGCGCACACACACACACTGTGACCTTCAAGGACTAGATGCAGTATGCTGTCACATCCCAGTCAATGGAAATTCTAATGTTGCTAAGGTTAGTGCCACATAACTAGAATGAGATTCTATTTATATGGTTAGCACCCTAAAAGTGAAGTGTTTTCCCTCATTACAGTCTGATGTTGAATGATTCTGCTGCTGTGCTGTAGACAGATGATTAACCACCTCTAGGCATACTGTACTGCACTGTTACTGTACGTCCCCAGGGAAACTCTAGCTCTATAAATACCCTGTGGTAGTTATGATACGAGGAAGGATCCTCAGGACATGTCTGTGGATGTGTTACCGGGTAGAAAACCACTAAACTAGATTATCACAACACAAACTTTCACAAAATATAATATAAATATATAGTAGGATTATGAGGTGGAATTCATTAAAGCCGAACTGATGTATGCAACTCAGTTTACTGTGATGTTGCACGTGGGAAGTACTTTATTGTAGCCACCAAGCCATGGTAAGCATTATAGAACCTCTGTGCCCTCTGTGTACTGAGTGAAGCATCCTGCTGAACTACTGTGTGTGTGTGCTCTGTAGACTGAAGCAACCTTCCCTGAGTTCTCCTGAGGGAGGATGCCAGCCCTGTCCCATCTCCTCCTCTGTTCCTGTGTGTGGCTCTGACGGACACAACTACGCGTCACAGGTACAGCAACACACATGCACACACATAATGACATGGGGGGAATTGAGTTATATCCCAGATACAGATGAAATATTTATAAAGGTGACTGTCGACTGACTGCACACCCTCATTCAAATCTCTCTCTGAAACGAGCATTTAGATGAATAGAGCGTAGTCATTTCATTTCCTTTTTCCTCTTCAACATATCATTTCTCAACAAGGTCAGAGACAGTCCCAGAAGACAAAGCATAACTCAATAGAAACACATGGGAGAGATGCCTCACCACAACAACCCTCTGGTCCTCCTGTTCCTCTCAGGCTATTTATCACAACCCTTTGTCATTGTGTTGTATATCTCTGGACACTGTTCACCTCTAACAGTATCTATATCATTATGTACAAGCTCTAGATCCAAGAGACACAACACAACGGCCGTGTTTTAATTCACTGATAATAACCACAAAACACAGAGAAACATCGCCTGATAAGAGATGTTTGTGTTGCAGTGTAAATTGGAGCAGCAGGCGTGCTTCACAGGGAAGGAGCTGACTATGAAGTGTTCAGGTCTTTGTCCTTGTCCAACCGCACCCCCCGTCACAGAGACAGAGGTCAAGCATGGTGAGTACGTAAATGCATGCATACACACACACACACACACACACACACACACACACACACACACACACACACACACACACACAAATGTGCACACACACCCAAATGCACACACATGCTCACACACACAAAACTGCAATGCTATACAATAACTCTTTCTCTCTCCTTCTCAGAGAGTTGTACAGGACAGGACCTCTCTGATCTGGGGGAGAGGCTGAGGGACTGGTTCCAGCTGCTGCAGGACAATGCCAAGCTGAACAACAACAGCAAGACTGGAGCCAGCAACACAGCAGGGGCTAACACTGGATCAGGTAAGAGATAGAACAGATGCAGAGCCTGTGGTCTAGCGGTAACGCTCCCGGCTTATACGCGTATACTCCTCTCCCCACCAGAGATCGTGGTTCAAACTCCGCTCCAACCCTTTCATTTCCTTATCCCACCTGTCTGCCTCTGTCATTGCATGAATGTCTCAATAAAGTGAACAAAAAAAGAGACAGTAAAGTTATTATAGGGCCAGCACTGCATCAGGTAAGATTAAAATAGGACCAGCAACATACTGTATCAGTTGCAACAGTGAAGATATTCTCCTTTCTTTTGCAATCTAGTGACATTTTGACTTACTGTAATCCTGACGTCTACCACTGTTATATATATTTGATCTGTATATGTGGTGGTCCTCTCTAGCTCAGCTGGTAGAGCACGGCGCTTGTAACGCCAAGGTAGTGGGTTCGATCCCCGGGACTACACAAAAAATGTATGCACGCACGACTGTAAGTCGCTTTGGATAAAAGCGTCTGCTAAATGGCATATTATTATTATTATTATTTTATGTGGGTTTAACTCATTCCCCTCCCCCTTTTCACTGTGTGTGTGTGTGTGTGTGTGTGTGTGTGTGTGTGTGTGTGTGTGTGTGTGTGTGTGTGTGTGTGTGTGTGTGTGTGTGTGTGTGTGTGTGTGTGTGTCTCTCTGTCTGTAGTCCTGGACAGGAGCGTGGTTGCCAGCTGTAAGGACTCTTTAGGTTGGATGTTCTCAAAGCTGGACACAAACAGTGATCTGTATCTGGACCAGGCTGAGATTGTAGCCATTAACCTGGACAAGTACGAGGTCTGCATCCGACCCTTCTTTAACTCCTGCGACTCCTACAGGGATGGGAAGGTGTCTATGGCCGAGTGGTGCCTCTGCTTCTGGAGAGAGAGTGAGTATATTGTGGGGAGAGGGGTGTGTTTCTGTGAGGGAGTGTCTGTGAGGGAGTGTGTGAGTGTGTGTGAGAGACGGCAAGGTCTGCACCGTTGCCTGGTAACTCTGTTTCTGGAGAGAGAGTGAACATGGGGGATATTGTGTGTGTAGATGGTGGGGTGGAGTGTGTATGTCCATGTGCAGTTATGTGTGTGCATTTTCCATGTGACCTGGCATTCAGAGTTCCCTACTGTGCCTGTGGCTATACTAGGTACAGGTATAACAACCTCCGTGTCCTCTCCCCTCTCGCCCTTCACCCCTTTTGTCCCTCTCACAGTCCATCACAGTTTGTCTCCCCCCTCATTGTTTTGGGGTAATGGCCACCATTGTGCATTAACAACATGACTGTAGCTTATTGACAGGCTGGTCCTCCCAGAGCTCTCACAGATTGTATGTGTGTCAGCCAAGCAGAAACCAGACAAGACCTGTGTTTACCACTGGCCCTGCCTGGAACCACTGTCTGTGTCCCAAATGGCTGTGTTGTGCACTACTTTTGGCCAGAGCCCATTAAAGTAGTGTACTATGTAGGGGCACAGCTTCTTTCGAGTCCAAATCCACTGCATAGCCTACAGAGGGGAGAACCTGAGAAACACAGTAGTTCAAAGTAACATTTCAATCATGCATAATAATGAAGATTTGTGTGAATGTTTGACTTCGGAATTTTCTACAGATTTTCTACGCCTATCTGAATTTTCAAGGATTTGGCCAATTGATTTCAAAGTTTAGCATTGACTTACCAATAAAAGCTCAACCCCATGTGTATTTCTGTGTGTGTGCATGCACACGTGCATTAGTGTGTGTGTGTGTGTGTGTATTGGAGTGCTGTACTTCAGCCTAGATGTGTTTCCCTCTCAGAGCCCCCCTGCCTGGCTGAGCTGGAGAGGATCCAAGTACAGGAGGGAGGCAAGAAGAAACTGGGTATGCATTATGTTCCTGCATGACTCACATTTCCCAGATGAACATGTGTGCTTTGTGCTCGAGTGAGCGTGTGTGTGCCACCATCAGTGTGCGTATGCTTACTGTGTGTGTGTGTATCACTGATAGAGGAGTTTCATTAAACAGATGCCAAGCAGGAGGCAGGGATAATCCCCTGATCAGCCCGGTGGATTATAGCTCCATACTGACAAACGGCTAGGGGTTGTGGGAACCAGGGTGTATGTGTGTGTGACGCTATCCACATGGCAGTGTGTGTGTCCGTGACACAATGCGGACTGTGTATGTGTGTGTGATGCAGTACACTGAGTGTACAAAACATGCTCTTTCCATTTACATTTTACATTTACATTTCCATTTGAGTCATTTAGCGGACGCTCTTATCCAGAGCGACTTACAGTTAGTGAGTGCATACATTATCTTTTTGATTTTTCATACTGGCCCCCCGTGGGAATCGAACCCACAACCCTGGCGTTGCAAACGCCATGCTCCACCAACTGAGCTACATCCCTGCCGGCCATTCCCTCCCCTACCCTGGACGACGCTGGGCCAATTGTGCGCCGCCCCATGGGTCTCCCGGTCGCGGTCAGCTACGACAGAGCCTGGCATAGACTGACCAGGTGAAAGCTATGATCCCTTATTGATGTCACCAGTTAAATCCACTTCAATCAGGGGGAAAAAGTATTTGATCCCCTGCTGATTTTTGTACGTTTGCCCACTGACAAAGAAATGATCAGTCTATTATTTTAATGGTAGGTTTATTTGAACAGTGAGAGACAGAATAACAACAAAAAAATCCAGAAAAACGCATGTCAAAAATGTTATAAATTGATTTGCATTTTAATGAGGGAAATAAGTATTTGACCCCCTCTCAATCAGAAAGATTTCTGGCTCCCAGGTGTCTTTTATACAGGTAACGAGCTGAGATTAGGAGCACACTCTTAAAGGGAGTGCTCCTAATCTCAGTTTGTTACCTGTATAAAAGACACCTGTCCACAGAAGCAATCAATCAATCAGATTCCAAACTCTCCACCATGGCCAAGACCAAGATTGTAGACCTACACAAGGCTGGAATGGGCTACAAGACCATCGGCAAGCAGCTTGGTGAGAAGGTGACAACAGTTGGTGCGATTATTCGCAAATGGAAGAAACACAAAATAACTGTCAATCTCCCTCGGCCTGGGGCTCCATGCAAGATCTCACCTCGTGGAGTTGCAATGATCATGAGAACGGTGAGGAATCAGCCCAGAACTACATGGGAGGATCTTGTCAATGATCTCAAGGCAGCTGGGACCATAGTCACCAAGAAAACAATTGGTAACACAGTACGCCGTGAAGGACTGAAATCCTGCAGCGCCCGCAAGGTCCCCCTGCTCAAGAAAGCACATATACAGGCCCGTCTGAAGTTTGCCAATGAACATCTGAATGATTCAGTGGAGAACTGGGTGAAAGTGTTGTGGTCAGATGAGACCAAAATCGAGCTCTTTGGCATCAACGCAACTCGCCGTGTTTGGAGGAGGAGGAATGCTGCCTATGACCCCAAGAACACCATCCCCACCGTCAAACATGGAGGTGGAAACATTATGCTTAGTGGGTGTTTTTGACATGCGTTTTTCTGGATTTTTTTGTTGTTATTTTGCCTCTCACTGTTCAAATAAACCTACCATTAAAATTAGACTGATCATGTCTTTGTCAGTGGGCAAACGTACAAAATCAGCAGGGGATCAAATACTTTTTTCCCTCACTGTAGATGAAGGGGTGGGGATTTTAAGCCTTGAGACAATTGAGACATGTATGTGTGCCATTCAGAGGGTGAATGTGCAAGATAAAATATTTAAGTGCCCATGAACGGGGTATGGTAGTAGGTACCAGGCGCACCGGTTTAAGTGTGTCAAGAGTTGTAACACTGGGTTTTTCACGCTCAACAGTTTCCCTTGTGTATCAAGAATGGTCCACCACCCAAAGGACATCCAGCCAACTTGACACAACTGTGGGAAGCATCGGAGTCAACATAGGCCAGCATCCATGTGGAATGCTTTCGAGACCTTGTAGTCCATGCCCCGACGAATTGAGGCTGTTCTGAGGGCAAAAGGGGGTGCAATTCAACATTAGGAAGGTGTTCCTTGTTAGTACACTCTGTGTATATTGTGTGTGAGGTTTTCGTGTTTGTGTGTGTTTGCATGTTTGTGCCTGCTTGTGCATGCATATCGTGGGTTGTGTGTGTGTGTGTGTGTGTGTGTGTGTGTGCTGCTGACTTGGCTAAGCTGTGTATCAAGGCTCTTCAAGGACACGGAGTGGAGCAAAGAGGAGACTGGGCAGAGTATAGGAGAAATTCTGCCAGTCTGATACTCTGACACAGTTCCCTTGAAAGCCAATCACCCAGGGACTAGAGGGCTGCCTCAGCTGATAAGAATACACCCCAATGCAACATTATGCCATTTATTTACATTAACACATTTTTCAACTTATTTTGCATTTACATTAAGTCCTATGACATCCTATCCCAATTTCATCCCTTTTTGGGGAGCAAATTCAGTCCCTCAGTAGGAGGCTGTTTTAAAAAGTAGTGCATATATTATATTATTATAACCTACAGCTGATATATTCTAAAGTGTCAGTGATAAGTCTCAGTAGTCTTGTAAAGGTTAACTAGTCCAGATTCAGAGCGTGTGTGGTCTTGTTCTCTCGTCATTAGCCAGCCCCTTGGTGCAGCAGTAGTATGCTGGCCATGGAGTATTAGAATGTCATTCTATCTCTATGGTACTGACTACACAGTTATTCACCTCCATCTCCTGCCTTCTTAATGAATGGATATGTGTACATGAAACTTGAAATATGGCTGATGAATTGCCAGAATGTATAGCTTACTGGCCTACAGTAAGTTGCATCGCCTGCGCAGCAGCCAACAGGAATTGAAGCGGTGTCGTCCTATGCTGTTGTAGTTGCAAGGCATCGAAGAACTGGCAAATTGTGGGTTTTGTCACTGTGGAGTAGGCAAGACGCCCCACAAACGACTGACACCAGCCCTTTGTGACGTTATTGGTCTTCCCCATGTCCTTCAGGACAGCATCGTAGTAGTTCCACATTTCTGAAATCAAAAGATTGAAACATGTTAAACACCCATTTGCCATTGTAATCATCATTGTTGCAATAGCCTATTATATTGACATTAGAGTAATAGCATATTATACTAACATTACTATTAGTATATAATTATTAACCTATTAGTAGGGCCTATTTTGTTAGCCTATTTCGTGTTATTAGTAGTATAATACCATTGCATGGCCTAATAAAATGATTGGCCTACAGGCATCCAGACAAGTACATACAGTGGGGAAAAAAAGTATTTAGTCAGCCACCAATTGTGCAAGTTCTCCCACTTAAAAAGATGAGAGAGGCCTGTAATTTTCATCATAGGTACATGTCAACTATGACAGACAAATTGAGAAAAGAAAATCCAGAAAATCACATTGTAGGATTTTTAATGAATTTATTTGCAAATTATGGTGGAAAATAAGTATTTGGTCACCTACAAACAAGCAAGATTTCTGGCTCTCACAGACCTGTAACTTCTTCTTTAAGAGGCTCCTCTGTCCTCCACTCGTTACCTGTATTAATGGCACCTGTTTGAACTTGTTGTCAGTATAAAATACACCTGTCCACAACCTCAAACAGTCACACTCCAAACTCCACTATGGCCAAGACCAAAGAGCTGTCAAAGGACACCAGAAACAAAATTGTAGTCCTGCACCAGGCTGGGAAGACTGAATCTGCAATAGGTAAGCAGCTTGGTTTGAAGAAATCAACTGTGGGAGCAATTATTAGGAAATGGAAGACATACAAGACCACTGATAATCTCCCTCGATCCCTCGACGCAAGATCTCACCCCGTGGGGTCAAAATAATCACAAGAACGGTGAGCAAAAATCCCAGAACCACACGGGGGGACCTAGTGAATGACCTGCAGAGAGCTGGGACCAAAGTAACAAAGCCTACCATCAGTAACACACTACGCCGCCAGGGACTCAAATCCTGCAGTGCTAGACGTGTCCCCCTGCTTAAGCCAGTACATGTCCAGTCCCGTCTGAAGTTTGCTAGAGTGCATTTGGATGATCCAGAAGAGGATTGGGAGAATGTCATATGGTCAGATGAAACCAAAATATAACTTTTTGGTAAAAACTCAACTCGTCGTGTTTGGAGGACAAAGAATGCTGAGTTGCATCCAAAGAACACCATACCTACTGTGAAGCATGGGGGTGGAAACATCATGCTTTGGGGCTGTTTTTCTGCAAAGGTACCAGGACGACTGATCCGTGTAAAGGAAAGAATGAATGGGGCCATGTATCGTGAGATTTTGAGTGAAAACCTCCTTCCATCAGCAAGGGCATTGAAGATGAAACGTGGCTGGGTCTTTCAGCATGACAATGATCCCAAACACACCGCCCAGGCAATGAAGGAGTGGCTTCGTAAGAAGCATTTCAAGGTCCTGGAGTGGCCTAGCCAGTCTCCAGATCTCAACCCCATAGAAAATCTTTGGAGGGAGTTGAAAGTCCGTGTTGCCCAGCGACAGCCCCAAAACATCACTGCTCTAGAGGAGATCTGCATGGAGGAATGGGCCAAAATACCAGCAACAGTGTGTGAAAACCTTGTGAAGACTTACAGAAAACATTTGACCTGTGTCATTGCCAACAAAGGGTATATAACAAAGTATTGAGAAACTTTAGTTATTGACCAAATACTTATTTTCCACCATAATTTGCAAATAAATTCATTAACAATCCTACAATGTGATTTTCTGGATTTTTTTTTCTCATTTTGTCTGTCATAGTTGACGTGTACCTATGATGAAAATTACAGGCGCCTCTCATCTTTTTAAGTGGGAGAACTTAAACAATTGGTGGCTGACTAAATACTTTTTTCCCCCACTGTACCCATGGCAAATTCCGGTGCTCTTCTTCGTCGTTTTTTACCGTTTCCCATCGGGCGCCCAATCCATGTGTCCTCAAAGTCGGCCACAAATGTGGACAGCGCCGGGTCCTGAAAGAACAGAGTTTCCTTCATCTCCTTGAAACATCTCAACACATCAGCTGGTGGGACGAATGTGAGCCTATGAGGCATCTTGATGTGGAGGGCGAAGTTGGGGTCTCTCCAGTACTTTGATCCCACCTCCAGGATAGCGGGCAGTTGCTGCCTAAAAAGTGGACCCAGATGGAAGAAGCATCCCTGGTTACGGACCCCCGGAAACACCTTCTTGAAGGCCTTTACGGGAGCTGCTGGCTTGAAGTCAGTCATGACGGATTCTGGTTTCAGTTCTTTAGTGCAAGGAAGGCACGAGTGTATGTCCGCAAAAAAATATAAAATAGTAGGCTGTTAGATTGCATGTTGATGTTTTTGAATGCATCACTAACTGAAACTACCCATTTCCACTAGCATTGCTACATTCTCCAAAAATGCTAGCCAGTTTTGTATCCTTGCTAAATAACCAGCTAAATGTTTGAATGGTTTGGAAGAAACAACCACAGCCTAGGGATGTCAAAAATAAGATAAACTTTTTTTTTTTATAGTGAACTATCCCTTTAAAACAACTTTTTAATAGGCTAATGAATGATGATGCCTAGGCCTACCTCAGACTTATCGGGCAGCATAATAATGGCTGCTGCAATCACGTACTCCTGTCGCATCAGGTCGTCTTCATTTGGTGAATATGTGGGCATCCCGTGGATGGTAAATACCTGCTGGAACGGACATGATACCTTTTTGAATGTTCCATTGGCAAACCAGTGATCACAGTTGCACCGGAATTCCAAGTTGTCTTTGGTTGTTAAGATCAGAAACCTGTCTGGGTCTGGCCCACTGTTGTGCTGGAGAAACGGGTCTCCACAATGCGTGGTTTGGTAGATCTCGGATATTACCAGGTTGGAGAGGGTTGCAGGTCTAACCTGGCCTCCACCCACCGCCTTGCCATGGCCCCCAGGGACTGTAGCCAGTACCGGCGGCATCTGCTTGTCTTTGTTCTTTTGCCGGTGCCTCTGTATACACTTTTTCAAGTTATTTTCTGAGGGCAAATAATGCCTTCCAACACCTGGCACGGCCGATGTAGCAGGCTCCAAAACGTGCAGCATGCTTTCCTCAGTCTCCAAACTCCTCTTCTTCAGGTTGTTCAGTACCTGTCGGACTTCTGTCTGCTTTCCGTCCGGGATGTGGTTGTGGTCTCCAGACACCTTGGAGATAACCCCGTCAGTGAGGACGATGCGACTTCGGCACAAGTATGAATTGTACTCAGTGCATTTCCAGAAGGATTTGTTGGCCATATCTCATTCCTTTCTATAGGTGTATCCGCCATGCCCCAGGATTCTGCTTCCACACACAGAGAGGACAAACTTGGGTTCTATAGTTCCAAAGTTGGGTTTCATTGTAGCTCCATTGGACCTCCTCAGAAATTAAAGACTGCTGAGGAAAGGGGTGCTCTATTTGTACAAAATATTGGGGTTATTAGCATACTAGTGATTTGCCAGTCTATTGTTGGACAATCAAGGTCCTTCCAAAACTGCAGTTATAATAATATATAATATATAATATATAATATAATGTATAATAATATAATAATATGCCATTTAGCAGACGCTTTTATCCAAAGCGACTTACAGTCATGCGTGCATACATTTTTGTGTATGGGTGGTCCCGGGGATCGAACCCACTACCTTGGCGTTACAAGCGCCGTGCTCTACCAGCTGAGCTACAGAGGACCACACAATGCAGTTCCTCCACACAATGGGCATGTGCCTATTCAGAATGCATTATGTTCCTATTCAGATGCATTTCAGAAGTGTTTATGTTGGGAAAGAATGTGCACCTATAGCTGCACCCACAGCAGTTATGCCAATAATAGGCCACAGGTGTTAATGTTTGGAATGTTTGGATCACCTTTATGACTATATAAATATATATTGTTTTCTACAATCATGTGACAATGAGCCTTTTTTTGTTCATCTGTCAATGACCAAGCTGTCTTCTAATACAAACCACAAAATGTATCCTTAAATATATAAAATCATAGGATAATTAATAGTCAGTAATAGGCCTAGAAACACAACTTATTTGATACAGTGGGGAGAACAAGTATTTGATACACTGCCGATTTTGCAGGTTTTCCTACTTACAAAGCATGTAGAGGTCTGTAATTTCTATCATAGGTACACTTCAACTGTGAGAGACGGAATCTAAAACAAAAATCCAGAAAATCACATTGTATGATTTTTAAGTAATACATTTGCATTTTATTGCATGACATAAGTATTTGATCACCTACCAACCAGTAAGAATTCCGGCTCTCACAGACCTGTTAGTTTTTCTTTAAGAAGCCCTCCTGTTCTCCACTCATTACCTGTATTAACTGCACCTGTTTGAACTCGTTACCTGTATAAAAGACACCTGTCCACACACTCAATCAAACAGACTCCAACCTCTCCACAATGGCCAAGACCAGAGAGCTGTGTAAGGACATCAGGGATAAAATTGTAGACCTGCACAAGGCTGGGATGGGCTACAGGACAATAGGCAAGCAGCTTGGTGAGAAGGCAACAACTGTTGGCGCAATTATTAGAAAATGGAAGAAGTTCAAGATGACGGTCAATCACCCTCGGTCTGGGGCTCATGCAAGATCTCACCTCATGGGGCATCAATGATCATGAGGATTGTGAGGGATCAGCCCAGAACTACACGGCAGGACCTGGTCAATGACCTGAAGAGAGCTGGGACCACAGTCTCAAAGAAAACCATTAGTAACACACTACGCCGTCATGGATTAAAATCCTGCAGCGCACGCAAGGTCCCCCTGCTCAAGCCAGCGCATGTCCAGGCCCGTCTGAAGTTTGCCAATGACCATCTGGATGATCCAGAGGAGGAATGGGAGAAGGTCATGTGGTCTGATGAGACAAAAATAGAGCTTTTTGGTCTAAACTCCACTCGCCGTGTTTGGAGGAAGAAGAAGGATGAGTACAACCCCAAGAACACCATCCCAACCGTGAAGCATGGAGGTGGAAACATCATTCTTTGGGGATGCTTTTCTGCAAAGGGGACAGGACGACTGCACCGTATTGAGGGGAGGATGGATGGGGCCATGTATCGCGAGATCTTGGCCAACAACCTCCTTCCCTCAGTAAGAGCATTGAAGATGGGTCGTGGCTGGGTCTTCCAGCATGACAACGACCCGAAACACACAGCCAGGGCAACTAAGGAGTGGCTCCGTAAGAAGCATCTCAAGGTCCTGGAGTGGCCTAGCCAGTCTCCAGACCTGAACCCAATAGAAAATCTTTGGAGGGAGCTGAAAGTCTGTATTGCCCAGCGACAGCCACAAAACCTGAAGGATCTGGAGAAGGTCTGTATGGAGGAGTGGGCCAAAATCCCTGCTGCAGTGTGTGCAAACCTGGTCAAGACCTACAGGAAACGTATGATCTCTGTAATTGCAAACAAAGGTTTCTGTACCAAATATTAAGTTCTGCTTTTCTGATGTATCAAATACTTATGTCATGCAATAAAATACAAATTAATTACTTAAAAATCATACAATGTGATTTTCTGGATTTTTGTTTTAGATTCCGTCTCTCACAGTTGAAGTGTACCTATGATAAAAATTACAGACCTCTACATGCTTTGTAAGTAGGAAAACCTGCAAAATGGGCAGTGTATCAAATACTTGTTCTCCCCACTGTATGTAACTGAGTAGGCTAATGAAAATGGAATATCACATACACCGCAATACAAATATATGTATTCTGTCTAAAAAAGCATGTGTGCCTCCATATTTAACTTCCCCTTGTGTGTGTGTATGTCTTAGGCCTGTTCATCCCTAGCTGTGATGAGGACGGATACTACAGAAAGCTACAGTGTGATCAGGCTAGAGGAGAGTGCTGGTGTGTCGACCAACACGGAGGGGAACTAGCCAGCTCCAGAATCCATGGCAACCCTGACTGTGGTAAGAGACCATCAGGGTTCAATTGCGCTCAAATCTCAAACTGATGGTGAAAACCCTGGCACACACTCAGTATAGCACCTCACTCATGTACTTGGTAGGCTACAGACCACCACACACAATCGGTACGCCAAAACACACACACCCTCACACACTCATTATTGATACCCATACACAGTCGAATGATCAGTATTGACCCATCACACACACTCTTTACCCCAACACATACTCACACACTCGTTGCAGAACCTCGACACACACAGTCTATATAGATTGTCATACACACTCGATACAGATCCCTACACACACTCGGTACAATGCAGCTAGGGCTCAGGTCCACAGCACCACTGGCAGTCAGACACAGTGCCACATTCAAATCATGTTGTCAGGGATCATTTGCATTCTAAAGGTCCACTTGTCGCTGAGAGTAAAGTATTTTAAGATAAGTGGTTGTCTGGCTGGACGGAACCTGCTCCTGATAAGAATGTCTCCCCTGGCATGGTTCAGAAACAGCCATTAAAACCCAGACAAAGTCAAACACATGCCCTTTACTTCACCATTTTCAAATTCACTCAGTGTTTTTTAACAAATGTATTTCTTGGATTAAATAGATAGCCGGGAAGTACAGTCGTGGTCAAAAGTTTTCAGAATGACACAAGTATTGGTATTCACAAAGTTTGCTGCTTCAGTGTTTTTAGATATTTTTGTCAATGTTACTACGGTATACTGAAGTATAATTACAAGCATTCCATAAGTGTCGAAGGCTTTTATTGACAATTACAGTAAGTTTATGCAGTGTTGACCCTTTGTTTTCAAGACCTCTGCAATCCGCCCTGGCATGCTGTCAATTAACTTCTGGGCCACATCCTGACTGATGGCAGCCCATTCTTGCATAATCAATGCTTGGAGTTTGTCCGAATTTGTGGGTTTTTGTTTGTCCACCCGTCTCTTGATGATTGAACACAAGTTCTCAATGGGATTAAGGTCTGGGGAGTTTCCTGGCCATGGACCCAAAATGTTGATGTTTTGTTCCCCGAGCCACTTAGTTATCACTTTTGCCTTATGGCAAGGTGCTCCATCATGCTGGAAAAGGCATTGTTCGTCACCAAACTGTTCTTGGATGGTTGGGAGAAGTTGCTCTCGGAGGATGTGTTGGTACCATTCTTTATTCATGGCTGTGTTCTTAGGCAAAATTGTGAGTGAGCCCACTCCCTTGGCTGAGAAGCAACCCCACACATGAATGGTCTCAGGATGCTTTACTGTTGGCATGACACAGGACTGATGGTAGCGCTCACCTTGTCTTCTCCGGACAAGCTTTTTTCCGGATGCCCCAAACAATCGGAAAGGGGATTCATCAGAGAAAATGACTTTACCCCAGTCCTCAGCAGTCCAATCCTTGTACCTTTTGCAGAATATCAGTCTGTCCCTGATGTTTTTCCAGGAGAGAAGTGGCTTCCTTGCTGCCCTTCTTGACACCAGGCCATCCTCCAAAAGTCTTCGCCTCACTGTGCGTGCAGATGCACTCACAGCTGCCTGCTGCCATTCCTGAGCAAGCTATGCACTGGTGCCCCGATCCCGCAGCTGAATCAACTTTAGGAGACGGTCCTGGTGCTTGCTAGACTTTCTTGGGCGCCCTGAAGCCTTCTTCACAACAATTGAACCTCTCTCCTTGAAGTTCTTGATGATCCGATAAATGGTTGATTTAGGTGCAATCTTACTAGCAGCAATATCCTTGCCTGTGAAGCCCTATTTGTGCAAAGCAATGAGGTGAAAAATCTGTCGATGTGCCCTTAAGCAAGGCACTTAACCCTAATTGCTCCTGTAAGTCGCTCTGGATAAGAGCGTCTGCTAAATGACTAAAATGTAAATGTAAATGTAATGACGGCACGTGTTTCCTTGCAGGTAACCATGGTTAACAGAGGAAGAACAATGATTTCAAGCACCATCCTCCTTTTTAAAGCTTCCAGTCTGTTATTCTGACTCAATCAGCATGACAGAGTGATCTCCAGCCTTGTCCTCGTCAACACTCTCACCTGTGTTAACGAGAGAATCACTGACATGATGTCAGCTGGTCCTTTTGTGGCAGGGCTGAAATGCAGTGGAAATGTTTTTTGGGGATTAAGTTCATTTTCATGGCAATAGGGACTTTGCAATTAATTGCAATTCATCTGATCACTCTTCACAACATTCTGGAGCATATGCAAATTTCCATCATAAAAACTGAGGCAGCAGACTTTGTGAAAATTAATATTTGTGTCATTCTCAAAACTTTTGACCACAACTGTATACATGCAGGCAACGGAAGTTAACTTCGAATGAAATGTCATATTTGGATACAGGTACATTGATTAATTCAATCTCTCTCTTTCTTCTCCTCCCATCTCTCTGTCTCTCAGTCTCTTCTCCAGATGAGGCGGTGACATATTCAGGAGATTTTGGCAGTGGGGTCGGATGGGAGGATGAGGAAGATAAAGAAGCGGAGGAGAATGAAGAGGAAGGAGAGGCGGATGACGGAGGATATATTTGGTAGAGGTGAAGAAATAAGCCTAGCTGGTCCAACATTACTACCGGAGCATCTCAACTTCTCTCACTTTCTTTGTCTCTTACATACACACAGAAATAATGATCCTGAAAACCTGAAGAGATGGTTGAAAAAACACACTCAGAACAACACTGAATCAGTCCTGGACTGAGGGGGGTTGGCGGGATAGATGGGGGGGTGGGGGTGGTGGTGTGACAATGTATGATATCAATAGCTAGAAACTGTGGTCTGACGAGTCAGGAGATGTGTCGTAAATACCTGTGAATATCTTGGCTCTTTTTTCTGTTGTATGTGCAAGACAACTTTCTCCTGGAGCAGTTTTTAGCAGCTTAAATGTTTTTATTAAAGGCAGGAAGCAGCTGGAGGTTATGTGCTCATGTTAGGAACTGGAGGTGCTTTTGGGCGTCCTCCCCTTGCGTCCTTTCCTTCATTTCCACCTTTATCTGCACTGATGTGAAAGAACTGGACAGGTAATTACCGTCAGGCTTTCGCCTTACTGTTTTCACCAATCCAGTGCTTTCAGATCAGTGCAGATGGAGAGGAGACAAGGAGATGAATCCACTTTAGACTAATTGCATATTCCTGTTGCATCATTTGACTTTCCTCATTCCATCCCGTATGCTTCACCTCTCATGACAGTAGTGCTCTGTCTCGTCAAGTTTATCACGCTACACTGCTAAATGTGAATAAACTGTATCTGAAGATAGATTTGCCACTATTATTATTATTATTATTATTAGTCCTGTATTGCTAATGCCTTGAGAGACTGGCAGAATGTACTGCTTGACTGACAAGTGTCCATTGTATTATCTGCAGATCAACATTGTGTTTAATAATAAAATAAATTGGTTCTATGTGGCCCAACCAGGCCACCATATTCCTGTCATACTGTCCTTTCCTTGGTCCTTTGTCCACTCCACTCTGGACTGTAGTTCTGTTGTGTCCAGCAGTTCTGTTCACTTCCATTTCTCATAACCTTTTTCTGCAGCTTCTGAGGCTTACATCTATCGGAGGCTAGCAAACATATATTACATAGTATGTAAAGAATGTACATTGTGTGGATTTTTTTTAGCTGAAGCAGGATCCAGGCCGTACTCTGCAATTCTAGCAAAACAATACCATAGAGGCCCCTTCTACCCAGCATCCTGAAGGCATTTCTCAGCTCCTTTCCCTGTAAACTACTGCCATGTAAACCAGTAACTGTGGTGCTTTATCTTGTAATATGTAAGTATGAGCCTTCATAGCTTCCCCAATCCCCCTTAGCTCTAGTGCCTGGTATTGTGCTATTTCAAATGGACAAGTAATCAATCCTTTTAAATCATGTTTCTCAGCATCATATTTCTGCCATGATGGAATCCGGTAATAGCCGGTGGGGTCAAAAAGAAGATGTAATGTATGTTACCTCAGTGTCTACAACAGATCTGGATTCAAATAATTTCAAAAACTTTGAGCATGCATGAAGTGCAAGGTGGGTGAGGTTTTCAGTTTTGTGACTTCTATTCATCCTTTGCATCAGGCAAGATCAATCAAACCTAGCTAAAGTATTTTAAATTATTTCAAATAGTACTTGAACCCAGGTTTGGCGTCTATAAGCCTTTTTCCTGACGCTCCTCTCTCCGAGTGCAGGGGCGAGAATAACAGATGTGTGAAAAGGGATCTTGACAGCTTTTTCCTCTGAGCTGGCCAAAGGGGCCAATCAGTCTGTGCAACATGTCAGATAATCAGATTTCTCGTCCCATCCCTCCTGGCCGGAAGCGAGCCGAGTGTAACGTTACCAGGTGTAAATCTGACACTTGAGGGGTCGATGCAATGGTTTTAGTTTTACCTCCAGACTAAAGTGTATGGTACAGTATGAAAGTAGAGAAGATGAGATGGTGGAAAACCCTGAAGGTGTTAGATACTAATCTGTAGCAGAGATTGTGTATCTAAAGCTTTATGTGTGCTCTCATGCTGTGAATACTCACTACAGCTCATTTTATAAGCCCTTATACACTAGGCACCTGTGTGTATATTCTGTTACATATGAAGATAGTGTCAGTGGATCAGAAAGCAGAGAGTAATATGAATGAACCATGTATGTACTAAAATCAGACCCATTTGAAATACCAGTATTTCAGCTCTGGGACCAGTTTCTTAAAAGCATCTTTAGGCTACTTTTGAGCTACTTTGGAACTACTTAGCATGTTAGCTAACCCTTCCCCTAATTGTAACCCTTTTAGCTATCCTTTCCCCTAACCCTAACCTTAACCCTTTTAGCTATCCCTTCACCTAACCCTAACCTTAACCCTTTAACCTAACTCCTAAACTTAACCCTAACCCCTAGCCACCAAGCTAGAATTCGTAACATATCATATGTTTTGCAAATTCGTAATATTTGTATGTTTTGCAAATTCGTAACATATTGTACGTTTTGCAAATTCGTAACATATAATACGATTTGTAATTCGTAACATATCAAAGGGGTGATGGACATCCACACATTAATACATACCATATGAAACGTAACATATCATACTAAATTAAGTGTCCTGGATTTACGTAAAGAATAACACAAAATGCTCTGAGACCAGGTTGCCCAGAACCTTTGCTATTAACATTGCACTTAAAAACGCTAGTAATCTAACGCCTACATCAGCCCACTTGTAGAACAGCTAAGTGCGTCGTTAGATGCTTTTTGCCCTCCCGCATCACTTTATAAACAGAAGATCTCCGCAAAAAAGGAAATCACATAGTTTATCAGTCTCTCTGTGAACGCTGATAACTTCAGAACAAAGTTGACTACAAATACAAAGTTGCCAATATCTTTGCAATTGATACAAACAAGTGACGTGGGCTATACAAAGATGCTTCAAATGAAAACCGAGATGACTGCATTCAAATATAAACAGTAGGCTATCGACCTAGTTCAATCATATTGGAATACACTGAACAAAAATATAAACGTAACATGCAACAATTTCAAAGATTTTACTAAGTTACAGTTCATATAAGGAAATCAGACAACTGAAATAAATAAATTAGGCACTAATCTATGGATTTCACTTGACTGGGAATACGGATATGCATCTGTTGGTCACAGATACCTTAAAGAAAAAGGTAGGGGCGTGGATCAGAAAACCAGTCAGTATCTGGTGTGACCACCATTTGCCTCATGCAGCGCGACACATCTCCTTCGCATAGAGTTGAGCAGGCTGTTGATTGTGGCCTGTGTCCCACTCCTCTTCAATTGCTGTGCAAAGTTGCTGGATATTGGCGGCAACTGGAACACCCTGTCGTACACGTCAATCCAGTGCATCCCAAACATGCTCAATGGGTGACATGTCTGGTGAGTATGCAGGCCATGGAAGGACTGGGACATTTAAAGCTTCCAGGAATTGTGTACAGATCCTTGCGACATGAGGCCGTGCATTATCATTCTGAAACATGAGGTGATGGGAGGGGATGAATGGCACGACAATGGGCCAAAGGATCTTGTCACGGTATCGCTGTGCATTCAGATTGCCATAGATAAAATACATTTGTGATTGTTGTCCGTAGCTTATGCCTGCCCATAGCATAACCCCACCGCCACCATGGGGCACTCTGTTTACAATGTTGAAATCAGCAAACTGCCATCTGCCCAGTACAGTTGAAACCGGGATTAATCCGTGAAGAGCACACTTCTCCAGCGTGCCGGTGGCCATCGAAGGTGAGCATTTGCCCATTGAAGTCAAGACCCTGGTGAGGAACACGAGCACGCAGATGAGCTTCCCTGAGACGGTTTCTGACAGTTTGTGCAGAAATTCTTTGGTTGTGCAAACACACAGTTTCATCAGCTGTCTGGGTGGCTTATCTCAGACGATCCCGCGGGTGAAGAAGCCAGATGTGGAGGTCCTGGGCTGGCGTGGTTACATGTGGTCTGCGGTTTTGAGGCCGGTTGGATATAATGCCAAATTCGCTAAAACGACATTGGAGGTGGCTTATGGTAGAGAAATGAACATTCAATTATCTGGCAACAGCTCTGATGGACATTCCTGCAGTCAGCATGCCAATTGCACGCTCCCTCAAAACTTGAGACATCTGTGGCATTGTTGTGTGACAAAACTGCACATTTTAGAGTGGCCTTTGATTGTCCCCAGCACAAGGTGCACCTGTGTAATGATCATGCTGTTTAATCAGCTTCTTGATATGCCACACCTGTCAGGTGGATGGATTATCTTGGCAAAAAGAGAAATGCTCACTAACAGAGATGTAAACAAATTTGTGCACAACATTTGAATGAAATAAGCTTTTTGTGCATTTGGAAAATGTCTAGGATATTTTATTTCAGCTCATGAAACATGGGACCAACACTTTACATATTGCATTTATGTTTTTGTTCAGTACACATTTCATGTTCAATCAATTGAGTTCTATTTTACTACTTGTAGGCTACTGTCTGTAATTTGTCTCAATATAATTAATGTGTGTAGCCTAACATGTGCACAATGATCGGTGATTTACTGCATTTTTATTGGGTATAAGCCACCTCAATATTTGCAGCCGTAGGTGGTAATATCGCTCTAGGAGCTGATTCGTCGTCAGTATTGTGAAATAATTCTAATTCTTTTTTTCGATCCTATCAATATCAACACATGCTCCAACGGCGCACTTTTCGACCGTTCTCTCTTCTGCCTGTGGGGTTCTGTTTTCTCATGATTGGATCTGTGTGTGATGAATGGCTTAGAAGGAATGCGTTAATGATAAGCATAGGTTTGTACTATACTGATATAAATTGTTTCACATAACAGGCTGTGATTCATGTAAGGAACGTTAGGGGGAAGGACAGATAAGACTTGTATTTCTTACAGATACGAACACTGCCTCTTTGTTGTCTGTGAACCGTCCTTGAACGTATGAACTCACAGTACAGTGGTGTCTTTTGGGTGCTGACTCCACAGGTTGTTATGATAAAAACTTATGCCTGGCAACAGGGATGCGCCAAGGGGTTGGGACCAGCCCGTGCG